ATCTGGGGATTTTCTATTAATAGTAGAAACTAGTCTTAACCAATAAAGTTCATTTGAGAGAAGGACTCAGGTTAGTGTAGTGTAGCCGAATCTCTTCCTCTTGCTCTTTTATTTTTCCAGGTCTACTCTGCCTATTAATTTTTTCATACTGCATGCTTATAGGGGCAGACTCTCATGTGGGATGGCCTCTGGTTGAATGAGTTCCTATAACTGGGTTGGTAGCTTTTCCTAATTTGGAGGTTAAACTTTAGCAAGTCCACTTGCTCAGACCTAAGTTTCATTAAGAAGGCTGATAGTGGCATCACATTTTTATCACTAGCAAATATTTAGAGTATTAACAATCTTAATACATAAGGAAATCCAATTCAGAAGTGCCTAAACAAGCACAGAGTTAAAAAGTTTTCTTTCATGACCAAAAAGCTAATATAAAATAAACCCAAACAAGATTTTTTCAGGATGTGGCAGGGCAGAAGAGAGATTAAAAAACAAACACATGGGCGGGCACAGTGGCTCACGCCTGTAATCCCAGCACTTCTGGAGGCCGAGGCAGGTGAATCACAAGGTCACGGGTTTGAGACCAGCCTGGCCAATATGGTGAGACCCTGTCTCTACTAAAAATGCAAAACTTAGCTGGGTGTCGTGGTGGGCACCTGTAGTCCAGCTGCTTGGGAAGCTGAGGCGGAGAATCACTTGAACTGGAGAGGCGGAGGGTGCAGTGAGCTGAGATCACACTAGTGTACTTCAGTCTGGGCAACAGAGCAAGACTGCATCCCAAAAACAAAAAACACTTTTCCTTCAATTTATAACACAATAAGCATGAAAAAGAACAAAAATTTTAAAACACAGTATCTGACTGAGGGGAAACAGGAAGACAGAAGCAGCCACCATATGTTAGATTCTGTGGTTGTGTACATATTTTATGAATTAATACTGAATGTTGATAATGGTTAGAATCAATTGCCAAAAAAGGTAGGATATTTAAATATGCAAATAACTGTTGAAGGAACCAAAAAATGTGTTAAAAGATCTACCCCATGAGAAGGCATTAAGCTCATATGATCTTACGAGTGAGTTCTAACCTACTCTCATGGAACAGATCATTCCTATGCTAACATGTTGAAGTTTAAACAAACAGGAAAGCTCTCAAACTCATTTACCAAAGCTAACATAACTTAATAGCAAACTTGATGAAGACAGCACAAAAAAGAAAAACATACACTAAATTCTTTTAATATAGAACACAGAAAGTCCAAATAAAATGCTAATCAGTTAAATAGTAAGCATTTGAATTTACAAAATAAAAATTTACTAAGAAAAGTATTTTAAGTAAATAGTAAAAATAATTTATATAACTTTGGGTTAGAGTAAATCTTTAAATTTGGCACAAAAAGAAAAATCCAAAAAGTAGAAAAAGGAACATAATATTTTTAAAATGTGTTTAAGGATAAAGGTACCCTAAACTAATTCAAATAGAAATGATAGACTGGGAAAAAATATCGGACACATGTCCATAAATCAGGTAAGATATAAGAAATGAGAATACATCTATACCATGGAATACTGTGTGTGTGTGTGTGTGTGTGTGTGTGTGTGTGTGTGTGTGTGTGTATGTGTGTGTATACACATATGCATGCAGCTAGTAAAGGCAATGTGATATTGTCTAAACTTTAAGAAAGCCCACAATAGATTTCTGATATAAGTAACAAAATATTATGGACAGTAAAGCCTATATTTAAAAAATTTTTAAAGTCTCTGTATATGTGCATTGTTATAAGCAAAAAGAAAAAAACAAGATACACAGTGCTAAGAATGGTAACAATAGGGCAGTGGCAGAGACTGTCATTGTTAGTTTTATTTTAGACACCTTTATGTTATTGAATACAACTGCATTTTGTATATATCATTTTCATTTCTTATATGACAAAATTTTTAAGGTGACATATTATCAGCTAGAATTGTCCAAATGCTAATCATTTACCTTTACCAAAATCATGCATTAATTAGAAACAACCTGATGTATGTTTACATGGGGTTACACACATATATTACTCAATTACAGATAGGTGAAAATGTACACCGACATAAACTAGAAATTTCATAAACATATATAGAAAGAGGATTTTGTGATAGTAATTATTAGGTTAAGCCATATGAAACTGTTCATTTTGTTACTCCAAAATGGTACTGACAATTTCTAACAAATAAGTATATAAAAAAATACATATATATATATTAGCAAATGAAGGTCCTTGACACAGATATGGCACACTCATTTTTCATCTCCTACTATATGTGGACCAGAACTGGACACATAAGATAAGCTTTGTAAAAATACTGAACAACAATAACGGCTAAATTCTGAGCATTTACTATCAACCAGATACTAATTTAAAAGCATAAAATTGATAGTATTTAAAGTTTCCAATGACTCAATAAAATAATTTAACACCTCACGAAACTGAAATAAAGAGATTGAATAATTTGTCCAAAATCAAAGCTACTAAACAGTCAGCCAAGGCAGTCTGGTTGCTAATATCAACCTATAAAGTATTTCTTTCCTAATGTACATTCCAGCTATTGTATTTTTCTGAAAGAAAAGCAGGAAGGGAAATATAAGGATAGTAAGGAGAATGGTTAGTGAAATAGAGATACTGTAATAATTATTTTTAACATCTGACAAAGAGCACAACTTTCTTATGCTATGAGTAAAACGTCAAACTTGACTCAAACATCTCCAAAGCTACTTGAAAACTCTTACCTCAGATTCACTGAAGTTTATTAACCATAGTATTTATTTAGATTATACACTAAGAGTTGCAACATAACTTGTTTAACAAAACGCTCTGTCCCTCTTTCACAAACTTGATTCTTTCCCATGCTTTCCTGCTGTACTAACAAAATCACAGAGCAAACCAAAAAATAAAAATACATGAAATACAGAAAATACACAAAGGAAAAGATGCAACGGGAGTCATCCCATGATTGTGAAAGGAGATCTCAAGTTAGTAGTTATGCATCAGGAGAAAAGAAAAGTCAATACATATTGGGGCCAGTCATAAAGCTCCAGAATAGATGTCCCAAGAAGATAAAATGGTAAAGGCAGAATGAGAGGAGATTTAAACAAGCGGTAGACAGGTTCAAACTAAGTAATTCACATGAAAAACTAAGCAAACCAAAAAACAAAACAACTAAGTCTAAGGAAAACGAAAGTTGAAGGAAAAATGGGAAGTAATAATATTTGTAATATAGCTTAATCATATATAGCATACATAGTAATATTACACATGCAGAATTATGATATAATCAAAATTACAAGATTTTACACATGCAAATGTGTGCGCGCGCGCGCGCGCGTGTGTGGGTGTGTGTGTGTGTGTGTGTGTGTGTTTGTATGGGGGATGGGAGCTGTGTCTCCGTATGTATGTGAAGCAGGAGAAGAAAGAGAGCTCATCATTCATATTCCATATGAATATGAATATTGCATCATTCATATTCATAGCGGTTGAAGCAAATTCAACCGGTGTAAACTATTAATCAAAAACACAAGCATTCTATTTAAAGATATGAATTAATGCCAAACAGATAAAATAATTAAAAGTCATTATCCACCGGGGGCTTAGTAACTGTTGCAATATATACAATTAGGTGATTCTTTATATGCAGATATTAATTTAATAAAAATGGGACTTCCAATTCAACATAAAAAGATCCAACCTGATCAGAAATGACAATGGCACTGTAAATCATAACTTTTCCACAAGAAATAAATACTTAGAGGACATAAATTCAGTGTTTTTTAAGAAAAGAAAATGTAGATTATCTGGGCATAAAAATAAATTTCTAATTGTAAAAATTAAGAAGCCAGTAAGAAAACAGGAAGCTATAAAAAAGTATTAAAACATGAAATTATTAAAAAATGTATTTTTCTTTTTTTAGAAGTGGATTTTCAGCCTTTCTTATGGGATCATAATAGGATGATCAACTGGTCCTGGGACCAGTTTGCTTAGAACTTTCCCAGTTTAGCACTTTAAATCCTGCAGTCTAGGAAATCCCTCAGTCCTAGGATTAGGAGAGTTAGTCACCCTAATCCTAACAAATTCAAAAATGCTTATTGGTATGTCTACTACTATGCACAAGGCTTCTGTTTTGAACTGTATACTGAAAGAAATGGTGAAAAAAAACCCAGCTTTTGAAAGATCAAGTTGGATAATGGCAGAATAAAAAAAATGAACAGTTTCAGATTTTTAATGTGAAAAAGAATGGAATGCATAGTTTACTGTAGCAAATTATACCTCAAAAAAAAAAGCTGCTTCAAAAAAAAACACTAAGAAGGGTTTGTAAAGAGTGAAAGAAAACGAAGATTTTTGGTTAATGTAAATAAAATGACAAAACATGCATAGTGTTTTCATCTTTCAAATCTGTAAAAGCAAAAAATTGTAACAGAAACATTGTAAAGCTCTGATATTAGAGAGAAAAAGATGTGAATACATCATAGTGTTCAGCCTGATGGTCTCACATGTCTTGAACCAACTAGGTTATCAAAAATTAATTATGGAGAAACATTAAAATAATAATTTCATAAACAAAGAAAGCAATTTAGTACCTAATGATAATAAAGAATATTATAATACTGACCAATAGTATGAACAATGAGGATAAAATAAACTATTACCAGCGGCAATTACTCAGTTATTATTGTTCATCAATGTCCTCATACCCTTCACATAAAAAATACAATGCAAATTTCTGCTGACAAATCAAAAGGACACAATTAAAGTGACTCAAATAAAAAGATTTTTTTTCTTAAATTACCTGGATTAAGAGAAAAAGAATCAGTATTAGTTTAATTAATACACAAAAGAAACTCCTAGGACATCTGGTGGCCATAGCTAAGATAGAAAAAGGGAAATTATACAGAAAATCATATTGAATTCAGAGAAATAAAATATTTTAACAAGTTTAATTTTGAAAAAGAAAAGAAATGAAAATGTTCATTGTACCTTAAAGAACCCTGCTTCAGGACCACACCTGTCATATACACTCCTGGATTTACCTATCGCCATTATAATACCTTGCATGTTCGGTGTCATCATGATCTGCCACAGAAGATTTAAAGTAAGAGTTTTTGAATAGTTAACATTAAAAAAAAGTTTTAAACTAAAATAATGTATTTACATGCAAGCTGAAACCCCTTTGTTTCCCACTATTTATAAATCAAATGTTGCATTTTTAATGCCAAATTTAATTCAATATACATGTAAGCATCTTTTAAAATCATCCATACAAGGCACAGTTGGCTCATACGGTACCTTTGTGCAAACTGCAAAAATGCATCCTCTCTGAATTCGAGAATTTTACAAAGGCAAGCTGCTTTTAGACAAGCAAATTAGAAAAATGTGCTATCCTCTAAGTGAGCTATTTAGAAAATGCAACATCCCTTTTTATCAATTAAAAAAGGTACCTCTTCCTCAAGCCTCAGAGAGCTCAGCATGAGCTCCATTTGCTTCCCACTTCTGCCCCTTGTCTAGTCATTCTTGCAGAACTGTGCAACCTGCACATCCCTAAGCAGCAGCCTGTATCCATAACAACTTATTTTTAAGTTCCAACGCACATGCACTGTTAAACTGTCACTCCAATAAATTTTTAAAAACAACAAAACACACAACTCTGTCAATAGCATAAGCGCTTGTACAAAAGATCGTGTTAAATGATTAATCTAAATTCAACTTTTTTAAATGTGAGAATGCACATCCTAAAACAAGAACTTAACTGCTTGATCAGTAAATTGATATGTTTATTAAAAACATGCCAGGTTCCATAATTTTCAAGAGCCAGCATGTTTATAAAATAGCTAACTGGAACAATGTAGAGTCATAGTACTAAATACTTAAGCATTTCTTTGTTTTCATAATGTCTTATTATTTTCAGCTGTTTATATTCTAAAATATCTGCCAAGTGAAATTACTCAAGGCCTTGTGAAGCTATCTTATCGCAATCAAGAGATTGCAACCATTACCTCTGATTCCCTGAACCTATTATTCACTGTATTTATTTTGGATTATACACTGAGAATTGCAATATATCTAACGTCTGCTCAAGAAAACCCTCTGCCCAGTTTCTCTCACAAATCTGCTTCTCATTCTCTTTATGGTCCGCAATTTCTTACACTGGCACAGTGATATGTCTTTATGACACTCTGACTTTGGTGATTAACTATAGTATGATAGTAACTATAACACTGGAGTAAGTCAGAAAAAAAGTTACATGGAGAAAACTTATATATATGCAATTCTTCTCCAAACCCATAGAAACTAACAAATGATAGACTCAACAAGCGTTTTTTCAAATCACCCCACATCTCAATAGTTATGGCCTTCTCCGTGTTACTATTCAAAAACAGCTTTACTGGCCCAAGTCTCAAGAGAAAAGTGAAAAAGGGGAGAAAACAATCTGATGGAATAGGACAAAAGATCATTTTCATCCGGATTCCAAAGAACTAAATCATGAAAAACAAAAATGCCTCCATACTATTGGAAAACTAAGTAAATGAGAATTAACAGTGAAGAGATGAGTATAAAGATGAAGGTGCTATAACGGTAGGCGCTCAGTCATCTTGATGAGTTATTCCATTCGCAGTCGTATGGATCTATGTTGTAGTGGCAAAAATATCAATTATCCATCCTGCAATCATAATGTGGGATTTTCTGGTAGGAAATGGTGGGCAAATGTTATAGTTCAAGTAAAAAAGGAATGGAATATAAAAAATTATTTTTAAATGCAAAACTTTTTCATACTGAACAAATATTATTGTAATCTATCAACCTGAGAGTAAGCTGGTACTATTTCCGCATAAAAGAATTAACTCCAGACACACAAAATTTTTTTGACAAATTCCTTAAGTTTTCTACTTAAATTTTCATTTTCAATTCAAAGTTCTGTTAATAACTGGTAAAGTAATTTTGGACTATGTGAGGTGATAAAGCTGTATGTTACGCAGCAATAGACATTAAGTACGAGGGTGCAGGCATGCCCAAAGTATTTGTATTAAATAGCAAAGATTAAGTAGCAATGGTGCAAAGGGCTATAAAAGGTACCTCGTCATCATACCCCCCCTCCTTTGATTCAATCATAAATTTCCCTACATGAGGGATCGCCACCTCAACAACTCGCTGATTAGAAAGTGGTTGGCTTGTAGTATTTTCAGGTTTCTGCAGAAGAAAATCATCAATATAAACATTAGAAAAGAGAACAGTGGAGAACAATGGCATCCTTGTACAACTGTACAACCTGCACATCCCTAAACAGCAGCCCTGTATCCATCTGACTTATTTGAAAAAGTTCCAATGCAGATGCACTATCAAACTGTTTAAGCACATGCCCTTAAATCTTTTAAAAAATATCTGCATTTACTTGGTATCAAATGAAACCACTTAAAACTGAACATCAAAATCAAATGCATTCAGCAAGTAGTAACACAAAATCTACTGTTTTCCCTTTATATCCTCAAACTGGATATTACCAATATCATTACATTTTTTCCCCATTAAGTATTTAGAACTTCAAGTACTTAAGACAAAAAATACTGGAGTTGTATTTTCTATTATTGTCTGTATAGCTGAAAATTTTTTTAAAAAGTCCAATAGCTCCCGAAAACCTTCCTTGATACCTCAACCAAAATAAGATAGGACCTCCTCTAAATTCATTAGAATTTGTGCGATATTTTCCTTATGATTTTATCCATCTATTCTTTCTGGTATCAATTATGTATCCAGTTAATATCCATATTCTATTTTGTTTAACTTACTATATACAGCCTATGAAACTCCAGTATATTTATATCTTAAGTGTTCAACAAACACTTGCCGAAAATAAGAAAACGTTGTTGGAAACTGATATCCATTTTTAACAACTCAATCAGATTTATTCCTTTTTTTATTAACAAATTCTTTGTATTTCACTAATCTATACTAATACAGAAGTCAGTGTAAAATTCAGAAAAGTTCATTCAAAACTTTATGACACTAATATGATTCATTCATACTGTACAGATTTTACATACTTATTTTATTGAACATATTTATAAACTAGCATATCCACTATTTCCCTATTTTAAAAAGTCAAAAGTACTGAAGGTGCTTGAAAGTAACTTAAGTAATGGAATTGTGTAAGTTTTCATAAACAAGGATAAACTGTTTTGATATTTCAAAAAAAAATTTTAATAACAGCAACTAAATAGGTTTTATTTTCACTTGAAATATGGGTAAATTTTAGTAATGTGAACATTTTCTGGCTTTCCAACAGCATATATGCAAAAAGAGTTTAATTAAACAATAAAACAAAACGAACAGCTGCAGCTGGTATTGCCCCTTTTAAAATAAATGTTATTTTTGGCTGGGCACAGTAGCTCATGCCTACAATCCCAGCAGTTTAGGAGGCCAACATGGGTGTATCACTTGAGGCCAGTAGTTAGAGACCAGCCTGGCCAACATGGTGAAATCCGTTGCTATTAAATATACAAAAATAAGCCAGGCATGGTGGCATATGCCTGTAATCCCAGCTACTTGGGAGGCTGAGGCATGAGAATTGCTTAAACCCAGAAGTGAAGGTTGCAGTGAGCTGAGACAGCATCACTGTACTCTACCCTGGGCTACAGAGCAAGATTCCATCTCAAAAAAAAAAAAAAAAAAAGGTGTTTCTGACCACAACATTTTTGGAATACATTTCTTTAATTTACCAAAATCCACATCTTTTCATGAAGAAATGATCGACCTCAACAGGTAACATGATCATGAGACATAATATGCAGCTAAGCCAACACCTGGTATGTAACACTTGTTCTAGAAAATGGCAGCTACTATGAGTCATTATACCGTTTCATTATGCTACTTTAAATGGCTCATATTTGAATACTTTTAAACTAATACTATTATCACACACATTCTACAAAGATGTACTTGGTCCATTTTAATCAAGGATTTTTAAACTTTCTAGCATATAAGAGAAGAAATGTGCTAGGTCTCCGTACACAAAAGTGAAATATAAACAGGTAAATTCAGAAATCTGTTGGGAGTGTGTGGTGATGATTTTTCATTAGCAAACCAATCCAAAACAATACTATCTTAGGAAAGGAAAATATAAATTTAAGGCAAATGGTTATTACGTAGAATACTAATCCTTATAAAACACATTCCCTTTGAGGGAAAAAAATTGCACTTAGGAAAAATAAATGTTTTATAAGCCTTGTCAGTTACTACTGAAGAGTTTCAACAGCATAAAGCTGATTAAATGCATGGATAAAAGTTGAAAAAGGGAAGAAACTTTGCTACATATAATAATTCTGTAGTATCATTCATCAAATTTAGATATCCCAAAGTACCATAAAATTTTTTCATATAAAGAATTTAAGGGCTCACTGAAGTATGTATGTTTACTTATCTTCTTCTTCTATTTTCAGGTCTTATATGAATACATTAATAAAGGCTAAACTTAAAAAGAGTTAAAAACAAGTTTCTCAGCTAATACATTGCAAAAATAATTAAAATACAAAGATTTTTATGAATTGCCTGAAATCCATTAGCTATATGACTTTTTAAAAAGTGGTCTCATGAGAAGCGTGGCTAAAATGCTATATAACTGTAAGCCCATGGACACATTAATATGCCTTTACCTTTTATCCTAGTAATTCAATCGGAAATCTATTCTAAGGAAATAACCTGAAATATGAAAAAAGCTTTTATTTCTAGCACCCTATTTATAATGTAATAGCAGAAACAAATATACAATGGGGGAGGAGGTACATAAACAAGAAGTTAATTATTCAATGGACTAGTAGCCATTAAATGTTTTTACTGAGTTTATAACCTGGGGAAATGGTTATAAATGTAAGTGATTAAAAGGAGGCAAGACAAAATTTTGTATGCAACTCAATTATAAAAATAAATCCTAAATCTACATATCAAAATAAGAGTGAAGAAAATACCAACATATTTACAGTAATTAACTTTGAGTAGTGAGCTGAACTATGCATGACTCTCAGGGTCTACTTTTCTGTATTTTGAAAATATCCTAAACTATTCCATTTAAAATTAAAGACACTTTTCTAAAAAGCAGGGGGCCTAAACACTTGGAAATTCTAATTTCCATGGTTCTAAGCTTTCCAGGGAATTCTTCTTATCTTAAGGTTGAATTTAATATATTTTATTTTTGGAAAGTGGTTAGGACTGAAGTAACAGAAGGAAGCCAACAGATACTCAGTGCCTACTACATACCATGCCAAGCACTTACAAGTAATGCTCTCGACGAATCCTACAATTACTTACATTTTATGGAAAAGAAAACTGAGTTCTATCTAGAGAAATTAAGCAATTTATTCAAGGTTACGTTAATAATAAGTAAAACTAATATTCTAAAACCCAGAAATGTTTAATCCCAAAGTCTGAAGATATTTTTCACCTGTGCAATTTATCTTCAATGTACGCTAAGTTTAAATGAGAAAACACCTGTGAAGTAGTTACCATGATGCTAAGCAAATGACAGTAAGATCAAGAATCACAGGCTGCTTCTGACAGCTATGGTTACTGAATTCTTAGGCTTGCTTCAGGATTTATACACACAATGAGGCTAAACTGTGTATGCCACTCCAGATAACAATGAAATAAACAAACAAATAGTGTATTTGTCTATCCTATTATCTCCCTGTCATCCTCCTTTCTGAGGTAAAGACGAGGTAGTAGGTTGCTCCCTTGTAAGATTATATCGATATTAGGAGGCTGAGCAATCAAAATTTCCAGAAATTTAAATTCTATATGATCTGCCAAACTTAAAACCATGATTCTAAATTAAGCTAAGTAATGTTTTTGATTTTCTAACACCATCTTTTAAAAAGTGACACTTATTAATCATAATTTAGGCTTTAACAAATAAAAGTTCTAATTAGCAGGGGACTTGCAAATGCAATTTCTTTGTCAGGCAAAACTATTCCCCCTTATACCTACTCCTCTGTTTCTTCTCCTTTGCTAGGTTTTCCTCTTACCATCACCCAAGAATCAGACATCCCAGATCCACTAAACAAAGCATTTTCCATGAAAAGCTTTTGAGTTACTGATGTTCGTATCAAATTCATTTAAAGCTTCTAAGGCATTGGCAAAATTTAGAATCACCAAAGAGGAACTATTTAAATTAATACATTTTTAAGAAGATGATATGTTAATACATTTTCAAAATGTTTCAAACAAAAAATAATTTTTTGTTATTTAGTTCATCAAAACAAAAATAAAAGAGTACTCTATCTCTTGAACATTTTAGCTGAAGGAAGTCTTATTATATATTTAAGGCCTCATTGCAATTAGCAGGTTATTGCTGGCATTGAATTCACTGACTAAGCAGAAAATTATGTGTTGTAAAATTATATGTGGCACTCTCCAGTTCTTGAGGCGAATCTTCAAATATTAAAAGGAGCCACCATAAAATCTGCATTAGAGCTGCTTATGCTCACTGATAAAAGATAAATGACTACAGGGACTGAAAGGTTTAATAGTAACAAATTCTTGAAATAGCTTCTCTCAGAATGTCATATTCATTGATAACATAGTATAATACCAACATCCTCAATTTACTGTTATAAAAAGACGTATTTGAAAACTACAATTCATTAGACTAATAATTACATTTTTGCATAGGGACATTTTTGAAATATTAACAGTTTTGCAATATCATATTTATCCTTCTAATAATATTCTAACCTATAGTATCAGTATCTAGTAGTTTTATTGTTAAACACATTTCATGAAATTATGACAATTGTATCTTAAGTTCCCAAATATTCCATTGTAATCAGATTACAGATGGAGGAATGAGTGAGAGACAGGAAAAATACTGGTAAATTTTACACTTATCTTTTTAAGTTCTAAATCAAATGGCCATTTTAATCTATGATTATGATTCATTACAATTATCTAACAGAAAGACAGAAACTTAAGAGAAAAGTGTCTTTAAAATTACAGGAAATCACAGTCTGGGCATCAGATGACTTGCCCATGGTCACTGATAATGCCCATGTCAGGCCATTATCGGGCCCCGTATCTCCTGACTCCCAGACAGGTCTCCCTCCACTTTAGTGGAGGAAATGTCATGACCATGGCTATGTTCAGAGAGCCAAAAGAAAAGATCTTACCGACTGCAAAATTGTTTCAGGACTTTTATCTTCATGCTCATGTGACGCTTTGGTAATTACTCGAATAGTCTCTTCTTTCAAGTGCTTTGAGAAGTCACTTCTTGATGGCTGCTCTAGATATTCTGGGTCTCCTGCTGCTTGTGCTTCATGAGAAAAGAATCAATTGTATATCTAATATAAATCACAGAGTCTATACTAAGATAAATCTTTTATTCATTTCTATATCTGAAGTTATATAAGAACGAATCTTAGTCTTCTATTTAAAGTAAAATATATCCTTCCATGTATAGCACTTCTTCCCAGAATTTATTAAAAAACAAAAACCAAGAACAGTACTCCAACAATTATTAAGGAAAGCCCTCATTATAGTTTATGGTAAGGAATTCACAGTAAATTTTTCTGCCATGAGAAATACCAAAAGCTCATTTTGGAAAATCGTCAGCACTTTACCAAAAGAAGAATTTGGTTTGAACAGCAATCCTGGGCTGACTTTCCACAGAGTACACAAGAGCTATTTTTCTCTGGCCACAGTATCCTCTTTCACACTTCCTGACAAAATCCTAACCCTGAATGAACCTAACCTTCCATCTTTTCTGAACTTGCCTCTGGTAGCTGAGTGTTATCAGAGAAAAGTATTCACAGTTTGGCAAACTGGTACCAATAGAAATGCATGACATCTCCTACCCATCTTTTGAGTTCCAGATGTACAATGAACATCCCACTAGGTGTTTCCTAGACTAAACGAGCTCTACATGACATGACCTAAAGGGTGTCTCTCAGTAAATCTCTAACAAAGCAGCCAGTCCATGAAGCTTCCAGTCATCTGTGGAGATTATCACTAACTGAATAATCATACATGTAAATTTTGACAATATGATAACACATTCTAGGACTAAAGTAACAATGAAGTGATATGAGCAATTTAGATTGTGAGAAATTAGAAAGTGACCTATAAAATGAAGGATGAATGTGCTGCTTTGCCAGGTGGAATGAAGAGTCCATGCAGTCAGCATGGGCTAGATTCGAAAAAGAATAATATGACTGGATTACAGTACAAAAGTGCAGATATGGCAAGAGGTGATGCAGGTAGGGACAAAGGCACTAACAGACTTTAAATCAGGCAATTGGAAATGAGTACTTTTTTAAGACAATGGCAACATAGCAAGTTTTTAAAAAATTATTCTGAGGATATTGTGAAGAATGAATTAAAAGAGGAAAATAAAACTAGAGGTCAGTGAAGGTAGTAGAAGGCAGTAGAGCAGTATGAAAAAGAAATGAATATGTTTTCCAATAACAGAGACAGCAGCAGAGGGACATAAAAATGGCTAGATTTTGGACACAAAGGTGTGGAGATTACATATGAACATACCAAGTTTGTGACATGAGTTAACTAAGTTGATGGAGGGACATCTGACTATATGATAAGGAAAACTAGAGGTGAGAATGCTTACAATGTGTAAAAAAAAGGAAGGAGAGAAGTTAAAAGAAATTTAATGTTCTCATTAAATAATTTCCTGATTTTGGACTGCAATAGCCTTTCAGTGCCCATGAGTAATAGATAAAGAAAACATTTGGCTACCATCAGCTTATCAGTAATTCTGCTTCTGGAAGATTTCATCATAGGTAGCTTATGCCAGCTTCTTTAGGGCTTTAACAGAGAGAAACTCCTTGTTGCCACGCTTCCTCTCTTCACCATAGTAGGTAATGTCAATGATTAATAATTGGATGCAAACTTAGAGCAATGAGGACCAATAAATCCATCTGGTTTGACACTGGCCTAATGACCCATTGAAACCTAGAATCTTTGTAAAATTGGTCTTTAGGAGCAAGAGTAATTTTATCTGATCAACAAAAGTAAAATCCACCTTATGTCACCAGGGCCAAGGTTTTCTTCCATAAAGGAGTTTGAGTGCAAAAACCTTATGAGTAACAGTGAAGGGTTCTGGCTAAATGTCATACAAAAAATTTTTCTCTAGGCTTTGCCCTATGTACATTCCTCCCAGGGAACTTATGTCAGTGGTTTTGTTGCCATGATAGTTGAACCTACAACAGTTTGACATGCTGGGAGATGGGAAACAAAAAATTCAAATTGCATTCCCAACATGTTTATTGAACCTGTACTATATTCAGTATTGTAGTAGGTATTAAAAATGTAAAAAAAAAAAAAAAAATTACATACATCACGCATTTTAAGTGTCTCTCAGTAAAATCTGATATACATTCTATTACTATACAATGTGATAAATGCAATAAAAGTTATGCACAAGGTTTTATAAAAGCACTGTGGACCCAATACAAACACTTGAGATAATGCTGCCTGTTAAGAAACACCTACCAAGAGAGGTGCTAACTTACTTAGGTGAGTCTAGAAGGATTTGTAGAGGATTATTTTGGAGATAAGAATAGAAAAGATTCTAGGCAGAAGGAATAGCACACTGTAAAGAAGGAGTAGCACATGTAAGGTCTGATCAAAGATTCATAAAATCCCTGCTATATATGAGCCTCTACATTGGAAGGCAAGCAAAAATGTAAGGACAATAGAGAAAAACATAATACAACTGGTAGTGAGGTGAGAATTAAGAGGAAAAAGATAATAGCTGCTACAGAAGTGCTCTCAGAGAAATTCATAAAGACTGGGATATGAGGAAGATCTTAAAGAATATGCAAAAATTCATGAACACTGATGACAAACATTTTTAAGATGAAGGATACTTCATGAGCAAAGACATAATGATAGGAAAATTTCCTACATGCAAGAGAAATAGGGAGTAATCTGGTATAGATGAAATATAGGCTACTCACAGGGAAGTAGGCTTGGAAGAATTACAAGGGAATCAGATTATAAAATAAAATCCTCATAAAAAAATCCTCAAAGAAGACAAAAAAGAAGTTTTGTCTTCATTTTATTACACCAAAGAATAAAAATGTTTATAGAAAAAAACAAGAAAAAATGAGGAAAATGAAAAGCTCTTTGCGTTACTAAGAGATAAGCACTATTAAAATTTCTGATACATTATTTCCAGACTTTACCTACCTACCCATATTTTTAAACAAAAAGAATTACTCTCTATATCAGCATAACATGTACTGGTTATATTGTGTTGTTCTGTATGGAAGGCTCACACAACTGATACCCTACCATCTACTTTAGCTATTTTTGTTTCTTTGATAGGAACAACAGCAGAACAAATAGTTTTGCCTTTACCATATAATACAATTGTTGTTCATCCTCTAACCCTATTAAAAACCTCATCCCTAGTGGCCTACAGCTATAAATTCCCTAACCGGCTAAATGTCAGACAGGACAATTTTCTCCAGGGTTTTCCCTATGTACATTGGGAACTAGTGGCGTTTTAGTCACAGTAGGTGAACGTACAATGGTTTGAAACTCTGGGAGACTGGAAACAAAAAGTTTTTTTTTAATGCACTCATTTCACCATGAATAACCCGTTCTCTAGGGAGGTAAATAATATCCTTATTCCTAAAGTCTCTCTCAAGTCATCCATTTTTTTCTACGGGTGTTTTCTCTAGGATTTTCAAATGACTGGCCTCCACAAAAGGGATTTTCCAGCCATGCTTCCCTAGCTGTTAGAGAAGACTACTCAACATCCTGAGGGAACTCTGAGCCAGCTCCTTTAGTCCATCTTCATGTTAAAACAGGGGACTAAGGAGGTTTGGGGGTGCTTTAGTTATGCATGTTTCCTGGTTATGGTCTTCAATATTTTAAGATCAACTTTACCACCAACTGGCTTTCTATTAAGGAGTAAGGATCTGCTCTTAACTATAAAAATAATACCAGCATCTCTGATATCTTTCAGAAGAACTTGTTAACTTACTAACAAGTCATACTTACTACATTCACATTGAAAAAGGTTTAAAGGGGACTGCTTGAGAGATATACAGTCCATCCATTTCTAGAAATGTATTTAAAAGTCCACAATACCCTATAAGAGCCTACAAAGCACCATGATAAGGTGATTGCATAGTATCAGTGGTGGAGCTTCAGATTCCTGGGCTCCATTCCAAAGAAAATCTGAGGGGTGCGGGGAAGAGAGGTTTATAAACCAGAGTCAAACTATGAATTTATCCAGAACAAAAAACTACATCCTCACTACACATATTTGGCCCGCCTCCTTCGTGAGTGAGTATTTTGTTTCTACTTTAAAACTGTGTGTTCTCCTACACTAAGGATCACCCAGTAAATTCACTATTGGAATCTCCATAGGGAATGAATTCAATTTATAAATAGAAAACTTTCAAGAAACATCTACCATATGTCATTTATTATACTAGATGCTAGAGATATAAATAAGAATACCACCAGGCCTGGTGTGGTAGCTCATGCCTGTAACCTTAGCACTTTGGGAGGCCGAGGCAGGCGGATTGCTCGAGCTCAGGAGTTCAAGTTCAAGGTTAGCCTGGTCAACATGGTGAAACCTCATCTCCACTAAAATACAAAAAAGAAAGAAAGGAAAAAAAAAAAAAGCCCAATGTGGTGGTATATGCCTGTAGTCCCAGCTACTCAGGAGGCTGAGGCACAAGAATTGCTTGAACCCGGGAGGCAGAGGTTGCAGTGAGCCAAGATTGTGCCACTGCACTCCAGGCTGGGTGACGAAGAAACAACCTCAAAAAAAAAAAAAAAAAAGAATATCACCCAGTTCCTGCTTCCTGCTTTCAAGGAACCTGAGAAACCTGAGAACACTGAAGATATTGTTCTTTCTACCAGGTCTTACTCTCGGGATCCACTGTACTCTCCTGGAACTTCAACATATTTTTAACTTGTAGACAGTGTTTGCAGCAAAGTCCCAGAGCCAACTCTACCTTCTGCCTCTAGACAAATTTATAAAACCTTATGCAACACATTTCATACCGATCTTAACTAGTGTTTCCTTATTTTAAAAAAAATCTGGGTGTGCCATGTTGTAAGGACTTCAGATATTTCTTGGATAAGGCAAGAGTAACATAAGTAAAATAGTAACTCAGACAACACTCTTCTCTCCAGAATAATTTGTTTTATAAATTCAGCCTAGAGTCGTGCTGCTTAATCAGAAGTGTACCTTAGAATTATCTGAACATCTCTTTAAGATAGGATCATATTAGATCCTTTCTCCAGAAATTTTGATTCCAGTATGTCTTAAGTGGTCTTAGGCAGGGTGTGTTGTTCATACTCAGAAAAAAATCCCCCTAGTAATTCTGATGCATACATTCATAGCAAAGAATGGCTGGCCAGAAATCTTAACAAAAATCATTCTGTTGGATTTTATTAACAAGATTTCCTTTTATTACTTCCACTAGTCACTCATAATAGTGAACACCTGAGAGATTAAAATACAGGTTTGCTTTGAGATCCTGGAATTATTATACCAAATTAAATTACTTACTGTGAAAACTATGAGAAGAATCAGAAATAGATGGTATAGGCATTAAAATAAAATTCCTCTATTAATAATAAGGAATAAATGGTTCTAATGAAATATTAGCCTTGTTCAATTTTGACATGTGAAACTATCCTGGAACAGAGGACAAATGTCTTAATATATCTCAAAGATAATACACTAATAAAAACTAAACTTTTAAATAACAATCTCACTCAATAAATTTATGCACTTGGCACATTCTATTTCTACTAACTCAAATCAAGTGCATATATCCATCAAGTCTATAGAGGACACAATGTTTCCTAAAGGTAGTATTTCTACTGCTTTCTAAAAACCCACGCTGGAAGATAATTATAATTATCCAGGAATAGGAATTGACCATTTCCACCTCTTTTATTTATTCTGGTTCCTCCCAGAGATATATCAATATTCTGTTCAAGTTTATTTTACATGATAAAGAGACATGAAAATACATATCCGACATCTAGTATTACATTAAAAAAAATTACAAAACACCCTGTAAAGTGTATAATCAGATGTACTGATCATGAAAATGGATGTAGGTATACAGACAAGACCTTTTTACAAAAAAAGAAAAAAAGATGACAAATGTAAAATGGGGATGGGGCACAGCTAGTCCTTATCGAACGGGAATATTAGTTGAGAATATGCATTACTTTGACAAAGCAGAAATATATATGTTAACTCTGTAAATTTGGAGAGACTTACAAGAAACAGACAAGATGAAGAGGGGAAGGATAATAAAACTTAGTATTTTGATATCACAAAATATAGGTAAGCCAAGAATAAAACTGAAGCTCAATCAATAAACGGATGATTGATCTGTGTCTGGGAGCTTAGGTAATACACTGCTTATACTAAATTATGCAGTCCCTTCCTCCTACTAATAACAAGAATAGTCACATGTGATAGGAATAAGTAAATGTTAAGTGAAGAATAACACAGCAGCTCCATCTTGGGACAGGTTCTGAGGAATGATTTGGAAAGAATATGTACGGAATGCAAAGCAGGAAATTACAAAGGGACAGAAATGCCTTAAAAAAGAAACTATAATACAGTTATTACCCTGCGATTTGAGCTTAGGTACCTCTTGATTATCTACTAAAAACTACATTGTTGTGGACCCACATAGCTTCACCTGTTCTATATAATAGCCCTTTACATGTGGGGGAAAAATGTGCAGTCCTTCATAATGGTAGAGCTCACCAGCCACTATAATGGTGGTACTCTCTGTAACACTAGAATATCAAAATGTTGGTGTCGTACCATTATCTTTTTTAAAAATGCTGAATTATCTGCCTCTCAGGATCAAAATCAATGACAACTATTTGAGCTACATGAAAACAAGTTACAGATCTGGCCAGGTTTGTGCATGCCTGTATCAGTCACAATACTACATTGTAGTACTATAAAACAATCTTCTGTTGAAGTTGTAATTTTTTCTAAAGTTCAAATGATAATGCTGAAACCCAACCAGGTAATGCCGCAAGGAAATCTCTGTCTGCAAAAGGTGAAACTAAAACAACAAAAACTGGAACTGCTTCCTTAAAAAACAAAACACGTAGCTCTTGCAAAAAAAAAAAAAAAAAAAAAAAAAAAGGTTATTCAATAACATCCTCTAGCAGTTATAAAAAGAGACAAATGAGTTTGAGAAAACTATATGGACTTAATTTCTCATTACCCCAACTTGTACCAAGAAATAGCATTTTCTATACCAGAAAACGTGTTGCCCTAAAGCATATTTGCAACTCAGTGATAAGATTAATCTTTAAAAAAAAGACAATATATTTCCAATTTTACTGGAAACTATTTTCTTAAATCTTATACAGTGTTTACTTTGACTTATTTTATTGACATCATCAGCTAACAGTTCATTTAAGAAGTGTTTTTAAATATTTATGTTTATGCATTTATATCTTTGTTTTACAAGTCTATATGCTTATTTTTTACTTGTGATACACTAAATACCTTTGGTCAATTTTCTCTTAAGTATTCTGAAAAAAATCAAATAGTTATTAATGGTAGTATTTCACTATTATATATGAATATACCAGTAACATTATTTTGCTCATCTTTGGAATAACTACTCTCAATAGCTTTAGTGAATTGGTTTGGGTTTCTTGCTGATTTCACAATTTTCTTTGCTACTTGCCAAGAAAATTCAAGCCTACAAAACATAGGCAGGGTAGCAGAGAAAAAGTAAACAGAATTATCTTATTTATCTTGAAATAACATATGAATGTACACAGTGGTGTCTGGCAAAGGGGTAAATTGTTAACTGTGATAATCTGAGTGATGGAATTTGAGATGATTTCCACTGATTTCTTCATACTTTAAGATAGCTAAACCTTTCTTCTAATGAGCATATCTAGCATTATAACAATAATATAATAATACTGATAATCAAATACAACTTAATAAAAATGGACAAACCTGTTGTCACAGAAGTCTCTGGCTCTCTCAATTTCTGAGATGCTAAAAGCTTTTCCTGCAAAGCTTTCTGTGCAAGTTGTGCATCCCATTCTTCTAGTTCTTTTTCAAATCGTTGGTTGTCTTCCTCAACAAAATCTCTCAAATCTGGTGGTAATGTTTCTATACCAACAAGGGGCTGCCCAGTTTCTTTATTAAACTCCTCTGCAAATCATATTTCAAAAACTAGTATAAAATTAAGAATTAAAGGGAAAATGCAAAGCTCAAAACAGATGGCATTTCAAATAGGATTTAAACTATGAATTATTACCACTTAACCACTTCAATATTACTTAAGAATTACTACTGTTTAGCAAATTAAAAACTTTTTAAAACTCAAACAAATGCTCAGAAAACAATAATAAAAATATCTAATAATCCATCACAGGTAATGGTCTCTGATTTTTTCTTTTTATCTGAAGAGTAGAAATGAGAGAAAACACAAAACCAATTTTTTTTGCCACTCTAACAATGATGTAGTACTACTTTTGCCATTATTGGAAAATACCAGATGTTTGATTACTCGAAAAGTAAAACTTTTCAAAAATGTAAACAACTCATAACCATGTTAACCTTATTAGCTCAAAATAAAACTAAAATTGTTTGTCATATGAAGAGATTAAGTATAGACTTAGGCAATTATGAAAACCAATATAGCAAGATTTTTAAAACACTACATAAAGAGCATTTAGAAGAATTACTCAACTTCTACTACACACACACAAAAATAAACTTTACTTTTTCAATAAGAAGTGGATTGCCTAGCTGATTTTGCCAAACGACTAAATACAAGAAGATAATTTTTATCAGTTTCAATAAACCTTTACTGTTTTCTGTACGCAAAGCATGTATCAGAATATCAGCAATAAAGAGACTCAGACATAGTGTGATGTTGTCTCTGGCTTTGAGCAGATGAGAGGGAAATGTGCAAAACAAGTCGTGACACAGTTTCAGTACACAACAGTAAATGCCCAGTAGACAAATGCTAGGAGGGCATAAGGAGAGGTACTTTCTGGCAGATCAAGAAATAGTTTGCAGGGAAAATGACACCTGAATTAAATCTTGACAGATACACAAGAATTAGGCAAAAGACTTACTAGCAAAAAATAAAATATATAAGAACATACAGATATAAATGTGTGAAATGGTTTGAAATGAGCAGATACAGCAAGAAGTTCAGTAAAGTATATAAATTCAAAATGAACAATGGAGATCAATGAAGGTGGGGAGATAATCAGAGGCCAAGAAAAGTGGCCATGTATGTTAGGCTAAGGAGTTAAACATGAGTCAATATGTGAAACAGTCATTTAAGTGTTTTTGGCAAGAACAAAAAAGGTCATATTTACCTTTAATAGTTAACCTTGAATACAAAATATATGCCAATTCTTAGCCCTGCTGATGTTACTTTTCAATTCAGTCTCATCAAATGCAGTAGCATTTCCTAATCATAGCCAATCACACCACAGACCAGTCACTTTTATGACTATTTAAAAATATATACCACCCTATATATTCTTACCTTGTATTAAGAACTGTGCCTTATCATTTATGTACATTAAACAGTATGCACTGGCATTTCTATAACCACCAAATGAGTCTCTCACTAGCTCTTCCCATGATGATTTTGTCACAGCAATATCATTGTACTTCATCCACCTGCTTTCACGATGATCAAAAATATATGCCCAGTAGTGCCCAGCATTAGCTTGGCCTTCATGAACTAAAACAGCATGTAATCGATAAGGAACCTAAATGTGGAAAAAAAAAAAGAAGTTAAAATACAATTATGTAGTCTACTGTACCACATTTCATGAAACCCACAAACAACCTGTTTGGGGAAAACCATAGGAGCATTTTCCTTTTTTTAAATGAGTGAGAACTGTCTGGGATTAAAATTGTGAAGAAACCAAACTACAAAACTTTAAAAAGACAGAATCTAAATAAGCTAAAGATATGTAAAGTTGACAGGTATACAGATTAAAGATGATTTTTGAAAAACTAAAAACAATTATCGTACATTGGATTGTTTCTTTTGAATAAAGAACTTATAGTTAACAGTATTACATATAGTAAATGTGTCTAAATCTTTAGAATTCTAAATTGATGGTTAACAAAACAGATTACACAAGATACACCAGAAGTTAAAATGTAACAGAGTCCTAAAGTTTCTTCCCAAATCTTAATATCCTTTAACAACCATAGATTTTCTCCCACAAGACTTTTTAAAAATGCTATAGTCTTTAGAAAAATTTTGGTAAATTTTACTGTAAAATACTAAGAAGGGTACACAATACATATGGTGTGAGAATACAACTGAATGAGGGAAACCTATCATAGATTTTGTTATAAATTTGTTATAAAACTTCCCCATTCAGATGAACTATCACATTGTACATACTGCACGCCCTTATTATTTTACAATAAGATTTACCAACATTTTAAAAGAAAACACGTAAAGAAAAATTAGATTAAGATAAATAACATAAAGGTAAATTAAAATATATGTAAATAATTTTGACAATGATTACTACCTCAAAATTTCACTTACTTGTATCATAGATTTGTCCGAGTACATTAGTTCAATTGTTCGATGGATTCTGGATATGCTTTCCTGCAAATCTAAGGATATAAGGTGTCATTTAATGATTAACATCAGGTGTGTTTCTACTGAGACTTATAAGGACAAATGGTTTTCCTACAAACGTGTTAGAGGAATAGAAAAAATTTCCTAAAGTTTTCTTAAAAAACATTACTACCTGAAATCTGTACAAAATGAACTATAGTTATTCTTAATAAAAGACACAATACAAATGCATAGTTAAAAATAAATATGCTCTAGAAAATGTACAGAGTCAATAAAATTGAAATTTGTTCAAATCTATAAAGGAGAGTTTCAATGACAATGAGAGCTAAGCTTCCTTACATACTTTCTATAAAATAGGTGAACTTAAGAACAAAGTATTAACCACGTATATTATACACATATGTAACTGAATAAAATTCGACTATAATCACCAGTGAGAATAAAAGTATGGCACTCTCAAGCCAATTATTTCTACTTCTAGTAGAAAATAATCCTACAAAATTGTTCAGAGGTAGAGATGTTCACAGTCATACTGTCCATAATTTTTAAAAACAAGATAACCTAATATCTGTCAGAAAGGAAATGGTTATAGTGTAACCATATTATATTGTGAAGCTACTGAACCAATCAGGAAGAAAGGTTGAAAAACCATAAAAAAAAATAAGCAAACTTCAGAGTGGAAAAAGGCCTGTCTGAGCCTGTCAGAAAATCCAGTAACCTTACAGGAAAAGATAAGACCCTCCCTGCCCAACACTTTAAAAAATGTACATTATAATAACAAAACACCAACATAAAGAAAATCAAACGTAACACTGGCAAAATAGTATCTGTAGCATATATTATACTACAGGCAAAGGGCTAATATTAGTAATACATTAAACTTTCTATTAAGCAATAAGAAAAAGACAAATGGCTCAATATTTTTTAAATGGGCAAATGTCACAAACAAGAAATTTACAGAAAAATATAAATATCCAACTTCACTCATAACTAAGGGAATACAAATCAAAACACAAAAATACCATTTTTCAACTATAAAAAACTACTAAAAAGTGTCCAGGGCTAGGGATGATACTGACGGCAGGCTTTCTTACACTGTGGGAATGCAAACTGTCTTAATGTTTTGCAGTTACATTTTTAAAACAGTCGTCAACATTTAAAATATACATACTCTGAAGCAGAAACGGTAGACATAAAGAAATAATAGACATTGGGGCCTACATTAGGGTGGAGGGTGGGAGGAGGGTAAGGATCAAAAAAGTAACTATCGGGTACTATGCTTATTACCTGCATGATGAAATAATCTTACACCAAACCCCCAAGACATGTAATTTACCTTTTTAACAAACCTGCACATGTACCCATAAACATAAAATAAACGTTTTAAAAAAAGAATTTATCATATATCCTACTTATGGAAGTGTATAAATATATATGTAGAAGACCAGCACTATTTAGTGAATATTAATATGGAAATTAAATGAATTATATCATACCTATGCGTTGGAATATTACACAATAGTTTACAAAATAATGCTAACTGCTAATATCAATAGGAATGAAAGGAAGAAAACAAATTTCCTGAGGAAAACCTTCTTTCCGGATCGATAATATTAAATATAAAAACCTTATCACATGAATGTCCCTCAAGCTCTTCATACTTAAAATGGCCAAAGGAGAACTCATATTTCTCTTTCCTTCCCTGAGTGGGAACTTCTTTGCCCACTGGTTTACCTTTTTTCCAAAATACTTTCTCTCTGGTTATTCATCCCATTATGAACTAAGAGAATCATTTGATTTCTCCCTCTCTCTTACCTCTAGCCAATGACTCACATCAGTCAGTGGTCTCCAAAGAGAATTTTAACTGCATTCACTTCTTCCCTCCCTCAATGACACTACATAGGTGACAAAAATTTCCTAGCTTCTACCCTCTGAATGTAATCTTTTAAAAGCAATCAGTCATGATGAGTAGAAAATTATCCAACACCTAACATAGTGTTTCATCAACATTATATGCTTGATTAATGTTTGGAAATGAGTTCAAATATTTTTTTTTTAATTCCCTCTTATTTGAAAAATACTAAAAAATCTTGACAGCTACTAATGCTGTTAGTGACCATCATATCCTATGTACTTATTAAATTAGGGCCGTTCTTTTCCAAATATTGTCTATAAAGAATAAAGTTGGTCATTTAAAGTACAACAATCAATATTGTTCAATATAATTCCAATCATGTCATATAGTTTCTCATTTTTTTAATAAAGAAATAAATTAGAATAAAATTGGGGAATGATAGTAGGGAATTATATTTTCACATGTAAGAAAAGAAAATGTAATAAAATCTGCCATAATCCATTTTTTTTAAAGTACACTTTAACAGCAGCAAAGTAGAAGAGAGAAAAGTTCAGGATAACTTATTCTGAAAAAAGAAAAAATAGGAAAGAATAAAAGAGAGTTCCGTCCAAGAAAGGATAGATGGCAACTTAACAAGACACACACACACACACACACACACACACACACACACACACACCCACCCACCCACCCAGAGCACTGTCCTTATTTTTCTTATTTTGCTGCATGCCAGTAAAAACTGTTACAGACTAGTAATGGAACACAGATATTTAGAAATCTGTTAGAGCAGATTAAAAATTAAAATCCACATTTTTAATTCTTAAGCCTAAAGAAAATATTTTATCACTGGAACTCCCAGTGCAAACTTAGATTAAGTACCTAATTGATATGTACAAACATTGATGCTGTATGACATTTCTCCAATGGAGTAGCTGTGAATACCAGTTTGAAATAAATTCAGAGCAGTAAACTAGAAAATCAGGCCATCTGCTATGTCATTAATCAGCTAAGCAATCCGGGGAAAATCTTTTGGTCCTTGTAAACCTGACACTGAGATTATAAAAATGGGGAGCCAGTCTAGTTTATCTTACATAACATCCTTTCTAGAAGAGAAAAATGAATGTATTTAAATATAAAATCCAGATGTAATTTCCCTTCTCAATATTAACATTATACATATCCATCTGGGGTGATAGTAACCATGCTATGAGATGCTTCTTACCTCTGGTGTCATTTTCTATTTCTGTCCTCCAGCGATGTAAACAACTTTCCAGCACAGAAAGTTCTTCTTCTGTTATGTGCCTTGGTGCCGGATGCATGGGCAAATCTGGAGGTATCCGGGACTGAGTGAATGGTTTGTGTATCACCGATCTTGATGAAATGGCAGCAACTGATGAAGGTGATGTGCTTGGCAGTTCTGAAGATGGGGCTCCCTGTTGTTCTGTTGTGCTGTATTTTTAAAGCACAGAGTGTTTGTTGTCGGCCTTTCAAACTGAAGCTCCCGAAAAAGATCGTGCCAGATCAAAAGTATTAAACTGGCTTATAATTCAAAAGAAAAAATCTTAACAAAGAAATATGTAGACTGATCTAATATCCTAATGAGATTTTTAATACATAAGAACTAAATTATTTTAGGATGAAGTTGTAGCTTTAGAGTAAAAACATCTTACTCATATTTATTTTTTAAAAACTACAAAATCTTATGCATGGTATTACGAGAATTTTCCCTTGCTTATCAGCTTACGTTACAGAAAGAAATTCTAATTTGACAGTGCTGTTTTTATGGATCATAAAATGGTGAATCTTACATAAGTACATACCAAAACATTCTAAACTATAATTCTGAGCAAATGTGATTAAAATTTTAATCCATAACCATAAAATCCACTGAAATAAGAAAACTCCCAGAGGATACAGAATCTTCTAAGTGAATACATTCTTAAGAGTTCACTAAAGTAAATTAAAGCATACATTTTACAAAAACCATCTTTAAAGGCAGCAGCCCTCATTATGTAATAAAGATAAGAAAACTGTCTTTTGCATGGATTATTTTTTACCTTGGTAATGTCTGTGATGGTATGGAACCACTAGGTGGGGAACTAGCATCAATATCATCAACAGGAGAAGTGCAAACAGGTTTACTTGAGGCAAATTCCAATGCATACTGAAGAACATCTACCAAGGGGAATCTTTTAGGACCGGAACCATAGCTTAAATATCTGTCAATCATAAAATGTACAAATGCTTTTATTTCTGTATACAGCATATTTGGGTTTTTATTATTATTATAAAATGTGATACAGTAACTTCAATAAAACTTCCTCAGCAAAATTCATTTGCTTTAAAATGAAGATGGTAAAACTGAATACATATTTATGGAAAACATAAATGTTCTCCAAAGACAGGAAACCAAGGCTGATTGACACTGAATGTAAGTGTATACTGTTAGAATTTGTAAATGCTGTTCTAAATTGTAACTCAATAGGAAGATGAAAACTTATATCTCCTGAGACTGTTTTTATTTTTAGATCTGGTATCTGGTCTCATTATCAAGACAGCGACATATACTATCCTCCTATCTTTTATCACTAATCATTTTTCAATAGAACTACTGGTACTTAAGAATAAAAATCATTAAATATATTATTTGATATAAGAGGTTTTACATTACTAATTTGAAAATTCCTAAAATAGGGGAATACAGAGTACATCAGGGGTTGCAAACTAAAATGACTTAAGTGACATTTCAGCCTTTAAACTTCTGTCTGGCCTGTAGAACATTTCTCATTCTAGATTCTGACTTCTTTTAGAAATAATCCAAATCACTAGACAACAGTGAGGCTACACTCATACATGGCACCATCCACTGGTATGGAATGGCTTTCATTTCCTGTAACACAGATTGCTCTCTAGGCTCCCGGCACATACCATTTTACACCTGACAATTTCCTCCTTTATGAAGCTGCTGAGAAGGCCTGGTAGGCAGCTGAGTTTGAATCCTGTTTTAAGGTGAAAAACTCAGGTACTATTCATTTTAACGGAAATCTCAAGAGTAATCTTTAGTTTCATGCAAAAAGAAAGGTCAATACTATATTCATTTAACTTTGTATCTATTTTTAGCAGTTCAAACATTACCTGTTGACAATGAAATATTTAATTTTAACCGCTAGAATCATTTTTTAAAGTCAATTATAGATTTTTAGTTTCAAACAAAACTAAAACTATTCACACAATATTACCTACTCCTAAAATTATAAATCACTAAAAGCAAATTTATAATTAAAAATCTAGTCACCAAATACATGGTTTTAGATAATTATCTCCTAACTTCATAAAAGTTAAAATACCTTTCTAGCCTTTGTTGTAACACTGTGAGGTAATCTTTCAGTCTCTTGATCTCTTCCCTCTTAATTCTTGTTATTTCTCTGTTTCTGTGCATGTATCTATCAGAAAAAGGCAATCATTAGCATTTCCAAATATAATGCAAGTAGATACAAGATGGCCAGGTGCAGTGGCTCGCGCCTGTAATCCTAGCACTGTGGGAGGCCGAGGCGGGCAGATCACCTGAGGTCAGGAGTTCAAGACCAGTCTGGCCAACATGGTGAAACCCTGTCTCTACTAAAATACAAAAATTAGCCGGGCATGACGGCAGGTGCCTGTAATCCCAGCTATTCAGGAGGCTGAGATGGAAGAATTAGTTGAACCCGAGAGACAGTGGTTGCAGTGAGTCAAGCCTGGGCAGCTTGAGCAAGACTCCATCTCAAAGGAAAAAAAAAAGAAAGTAGATACAATATTAAGTGTAGCCATCACCACAAAGCATCAATTCATTCAAAATTGTGTAAGATAAAAGGTAGGTAATACAAAATGGTATTTTTTAAATTCTGATTTTTAAGATTACAAAATTAATCTCACTTTTAAATTTCTTATAACATTATTCCCAACAACTATACTTTTCTAATGCAAAGTAAACTTCATTTACCTTGACAAATCGTATTAGACATTTTACACAAAAGTAAAAATTAATTCTAAGAAAATTACACAGAATTTTCCTCCTAACAATATTTTCTCACTTACTAAACTGTTTTAAACTAAGTCATGTAGTATACCAAACCATACCTGTCCAAATATAAAACTTGGGGAAATTCTAATTTGTTGTGAATTTTTTCTGGTCTTCCCAATGCCTGATTAAATTCAAATCTTGACAATTCAAATGTTAACACAGGTGGTAATTCAGTAAACCAATGCTGAAAGGAAATAAAACAATAACAAAAACTTTAATATCACCTTTGTTTTCTTCATTGCAATCTTAGGCACAGGATGTGGGCAATGACATTCGTATTCGTATCACCACAATGCTGACCTGATCTGACAAGTAACTGGATACACAATTTAGTTAAAACTCAACCTCTTTCTAAAAGTTTTCCACACCTCTTGAAAATTCCAAGAGTGGATAAAATACATGATCAGTAAAAAAAGAAATCTCACAACTGTCCTTTGAAAATAATTCTTTACATTAGAATTTCTAGACTAAAGAAAAAAACGCTGGTTAAAATCATGACTTAGTAGCTCAACTCTTCTGTCTTCAATATGATGTTGAATGGTACTTAACCATAGCATCATAATCTCCTGTGACAAAGTAAATTGTAAGAGGTTGTACTCGAATTAAAAAAATAATAATAATTACATTATAAATCATCACAACACTCATACTAAAAATGAAAAAATGGTGTTTTCCTGTTCTAACTTTAGCTCATCTGCTGGATTTTATACTAACTTATAAAAAGGACATATGGCTAACAAAAAGTTAATAATTTATTTAAAATCTTTCACAATAACTAGTGTTTAAAGAACTGAATGTCTCATTGCTATGAGCCAAATTATACTGAGTATAGCTATAATTTCCTTCCCCTAACCCGAGCTCGTAATCCCCATACATGCTTTGGCAACTGTTCAATTAAGCATGAAATTCAACATTTTTAAAAGAAAATTATATTCATATACAACCTCAAGTTATACATAAACATATGTATTTAAAGAGAAAGAAAAGGTAACAAACTTGTAAATCAACAAATAACAGAAGTATAAAATATTTCTGAAGTGCTTATATAAAATGTGCAATATGCGAAATTGCTGCATACTCTATTGTGTGTGATAATTTCAAAATGCCACTACACATCTGTCAATAAGTTAAGAGTATACTAAATTTAAATTTGAACATCCAAAAAAGCAAGAATGGCACACACCTGGCAAACTGAATTTGACGAAGATCTGGAAAGTTGCTACTTTTCTCTAAAGCAAATAAAAGCAAACGGTATTCAATACTATTTCTCTCTCAAAATGCTAATGATTACTTGAATTGAGATTTCCTGAGTTGGATGGCTATCTTTTACTGAAAGCTAAGGTTTAAGGAATTTGTTTTATATGAATAATACCTGAAATGGATTAAATAAAGTTATGAAAAATATCAGAAACATCTAAAGTTTTAAAATTGGATGAACAAAGTTTGCTTACTCATTTTGATCTCATGGAACTGGCAAGAATTTTTGAGTTAGTTCTAATCCACATATAAAATTATTAAGAATTAAAACATTACCCCAGACATATCACAAAGAACACTTTTGATTCTTTAGGATAATATTCTCTGTTCCATTTTATGATACTCAAACAAGAAAGTAGATTTCAAAAACTATCACTTTCATATTCTACTGTAATACTTTAAATGTCACCATTAAAATTAAATAGTTACATATTTTAATTCATGGAAATCTACAATGGCCACAAGAAATGAAATGACCCAAATTGGGGTGTACTTTTCTGTAGACCATGAAAAGTCCAGGAAATATAAATAGCTTCCATACCTTACAAAAGGATGTTCAAAAATGTTATTTAATATGTCTCTGTTATGAATGCATTTTCCTCTATCAGCGATGGCAGGTTTTTCCTACTACAAGAGTGGAAGGATTTCACTTTCTCATTCTAAAGCTGATGGGGACAAGATGAGATAACCAGACATTCTGTAAATTCATGTTTTAAAATATTAATGGTATGTCTAGCTCTGCAATATCTGGATTGTAGTATAGCAGTACATAATTTGAATTTTAAATAATATAAAACATGAGATATTTTTCTTTAAAAAAAAATCTTATTTCCATTCAACAAAAAACTATATTTACTTCTCTATAATCTAACTAGTATGCCATGCTTGTGAGACAGAGGTCATTCTCTATATCTCTAAACATATTATTATTATTTTACTATGTAATGAAACTACAGGAGGAACAGATTTCTGCAGTTAGTGAATAAAGAACTTACACAAACAGTATTGGCAGCACAAGTGCTTCTAAATTCATCACAATTCTAGAAATCTCACCTGTTAACAAAAATAGTTCCTCAAGAATATGTCATTTTTATGAGTTTTAATAGCTGGTTTTTCTATTAAAGCATAGAAGATACCTTGCTTTTGAGAGGATTACACAAATGCAGAGAAAGAAAATAAACATAAAAAACACACCTATCACTTCAAATTCGCCACAGAATACCATACCAAGCCAGGATGTAAACTATGCACAAGAAGCAAAAACTTTTCATTCCAGTTCAAAACTTAGGCTCCAGACATTTAATTGCCTTAACTCATTCGCCATTTTAAAAGATAAGTTCAGCATATAACCTCTACAGATGTCTAATATGGCAAATATCAATATTGTTTCTCTAATTTTGCTTTTAAAGCTTTATAAAAACTCCTTCTAGAACTTTAATATAACTTGGTACAAGTTTGTGAAGGGAAATTTGGCAGTACCAACACATCTAAATGAGTATGCCTGTGACCCAAAGATACTACTTCTAACTACACTTAATTTCTAAGTGCTCAAGGATATTTATAGTAAGACATTCTTCAAAATAATTGTTTTTCTTCATTATTGCCTTACAGGAGAATTAAATCAATTTAATTTAATAAATATAGACTACGTGACACTGCAGTTTTTAAAAACACTGACGTAAAGCCGTACACTTGTTCATGATATACTGCTGAGTGAAAAATGCAACTCTCAGGACAGTATGGACACATGCAAATACTTATATGTGTATATCAATAGTCTAAAAGAACACGCAGTACACATTGGCAGGAGTGAATACTCATATCACAAGTGAAGTATTTACTACCTGACATTTTTTTCCTCCAATAGACAATTAAAAGATATCTCCATGTTTCCTAGAGAGTCTGACTCATCTATAAATTGCATACCATTTAATTAAAATCTAAAATGCATCATTTAAATAAGATTTTTTAAGTATTTCAGATATAATCATTTTTAACTTATTCAGTTGTCTCTCAGTATATCAACCCCTAAATTTAAACTCTTATAGCCAACTGGCTGTTTTAACGTGGAAGACTGGGGCTCTTCCTATATTAGTTGGTCACAGCTATTTCAGCAAATGAGATGTTTTCAGGGCCAAAATAAAATAAACAATTTTTAGTAAATAATAGAGTACAGAAAAATCCCTATTGTTGTTACTTACTGGTTTTTAGAGATTCAAGAATAGTTTTTCTGAAGGACACCGTAAGACTATAATTTGAATACGTTATTTTTTAAAAAGTGATATTATATTTTAGTTAGTGATAGTCTCTTAAACCAAGCTGAATTATTATTGAAACTATAGTCTCCAGCAAATTTAGAAAGAAAGCTGGTAACAGGGATCACCAGTAACCAAATTTGCTACTGTGGAGATTGATTAGAAACTGCTAAACACAGAGAAGATCACAAATCATTATATTCCCTAGGCTAAATGAGAAAAACCTAGGCAGAACATTTATATTGCAGCATAGGGACATTCAGAGTATAAAACCAATAAAAAGATGGGAAAAAATATATAAGATATTTTAAATAAACAATGAAATTTTGATTCCATGTAGAATAAACAATTTTTAAAAGCTGGGAATATGTGAGCAAGATTATCTATCAATAAACCATAGTGTATTTTGGCTACTCTAACAATATAAAAAACATGCCATTCCTGCCCTCCTACCCCAATCATCCTTTTATTTAACAGCAAACAGATCAAATTTTAAGGAGCCTGCTTTCTTATCCCATTGTGTGATACTGTTAAAGTCACAGTCTTTAGAGACCTGTTTCCCAGTCAATAAAATAGCCAAATTTAATCATTCTTATTTAGAGGTTTATATCAGAATTAACTGTACAGCTCTTGTGTCCACATACCACATCCCTCTCCTAGACTCTGCTTTGATAACTCTGAAGCATGGCTATTCTCTATTGAGAATCACTGAAATAGATGATCCATGAAGTAGAGAGAAAGACTACTTCAAATACATCTCTTCCTCTTAACAAGAAAAGCATATTTTCATTTGTTTATGTGTGTAGGGGAAGAGAAAAACATGAGTGTGCACCTGAAACAGGAAAGGGTTAACTCCATCTTTAAGAAAAAAAATTAAAATTTAGATAAAAGCAATATATTCTGAAAAACACAAGAACAAAGTCTGCTTTTAGATAAACACAGAGACATCACTTAATATTTATTAAGCACCTATTCAGTATAAAGACCTCAGAAACTTGTTTGATAGGCACTACATTTTATTCATTCATTCAATAAATATTATGTATGCATTTACTATACTACCACTAGGGATACAATAGTGACTGACACAGATAAAGACCCCTACTCTCATTCACGGAGCTTAACAGCTAGACAACTATCAGCAATTGCTTAACAATGTTTGATTGGGCAGCACATGATATGTCCTTTGCTTACTGTTCAAGTGCCAAGACTCCCTGACACATAAATGCATGGATGAATGGCTACACAGATGCAGCCACAGAGATGGATAAAGAAACAGAGATGGGTGGAAAGAAAGAAAGAAACTAGTGGAAGTAGACATGTAAGTTAACAATATTTTATAAAAATTATTTCTTCCTTGAGAAGGTAAGTTCTTTCATCTGACCCTATCCAATCACATAGCAATTTTACCAAAAAAAAAAAAAAAAAAAAAAAAAGAATCTGGGCAGCCTGAACAAATTTCAATATTTGATATAATATACATCTGTTTTAAAGTCCATTATAATATCAGGATTTTTTTACTTTATATCCAGGAGCTAGCTTGTTGCTAATGGTGGTTACCTTGATTGAAAGGTACCTTCACAGAAAGGTCTAAAAAGACTGAACAATGTCCATGAAAGAGTTTTGACAATTCTGAGATAAATTATTACATGAGAATTTAACAGATTATAGGCCATACTGACTGGGCAGGTTTCCCGAATGTCTAAATTAGCAATTAAACCCAAACATACCGAGTATTCTCTCTCAATTATTAAGTAGCTATATAATTAGAACCTTAAATTGTGCTTATAGCATTGTAAGAAAGACCTAGGGAAGAAAGGGGACAATGAAAACATTAAACTCACCTCTTGGCCTGATTTTCCTGAATTCTCTGAATGTAAAGACTCAATTTCTCCTTCAATCATTGCAGCTTCTAGGCACTCATGCAGATCTTTGAACCCATTGACCTGAAGTGGGTACTGGCCAAACATTTCAGTGTTTTCAAATTTTTTACCTATAAGAAGGGAGAAAATTAATGATCCTCAATATGGCCTTCTGGTGACTAAAATTAGAGTTACGTAAGGATTCTCACCTGAATCTGAAAACTGTAACACTGATTTTGTTCCTGAGAAGCGTTAGTGTAATTTTCCTGTTGGTTTACTTACATATGTGCAAATGTACATTCATACCCAGCCTTACATATTGGTAATTGATATTACAAATCCACATATATGTAATTATATACACACATATGTATGTATATTTTTTCTTGCAAAAAGCATCTTCTAAGGTATACTGAACACCGAGAATATACACAGCAGTGAACAAGAGAGATATGGTACCTGAGCTGAGAAAATTCTCAGCCTCGTTTCAAAGACATTATACCCATTAACTGCACATATATTTATAAACAAATAATGATAATTGTTATAAAAAGAAAGTTGTGATGAGACAGAGTGTTGTGAGATGTGTAAAAATGAGAGCTAACCTAGCCTTAGCAGGTGGCAGGGAAAGAAGGGAAGACTTCCATGGCAAAGGACATTTAAGCTCGGACTTGAATAGTAAGTGGGAGTTAGCAATACCAGAGTGCTGGGGAATTATGGAGTATTCTTGGCCATGGAATAGCATGATGAAGACTTTAAGGCAGTAAAGAAGTTGATATGTTTAGGAACTAACAGAAAGTACTGTAGCTTGGGGAACCGAGGAGAGATCACAATGAAAAGTCAGGCAGGGAGTTTAAAATCTACAAGGTCTTGTGGTCCTATTAGGAAGTTTTTTTCCCCCTGCCACCACATTCTGGTTATAATGCAAAGTCACTGATATGGTTTTGCTGTGTCCCCACCCAAATCTCATCTTGAACTGTAGCTCCCATAATCCTCTTGTGTTGTGGGAGGGATCCGGTGGGAGATAACTGAATCATGGGGGTGGTTTCTCCCATACTCTTCTCATGGTAGTGAATAAGCCTCATTTTATAAGTGGTTTCCCCTTTTGCTTGGCTCTCATTCTTTTCTCTTGCCTGCTGCCATGTGAGACATGCCCTTCACCTTCTGCCATGATTGTGACACCTCCCCAGCCAGGTGAAACTGTGAGTCCATTAAACCTCTTTCTTTTGTAAATTGCCCAGTCTCAGGTATGTTTTTATCAGCAGCATGAAAATGGACTAATACAATCACTGAACAATTAAATCTAAAAATAACAAGTTCAGGTTTATGTCTCTGAAACACCTTTAAAGTCCCTGTGTGAAGTGAGTGGTCATCTGTTAAAGGACTATTGCAGAGTCCACCAAGAAATAAAGGTACTGTGGATTATAAAATACACAAATGAGATAAACTTATATACACATACATTTATGCATATATATGAGGAGGAGCACCAACAGGACTTGACTGGCTGGTTTGTATGATTAGTATTCAGGACAAGAGATAGGTAAGAAGGAAAATATCAAGAATGACAGAACTCTGGCATGAACAACTAGATTATTATTATTTTATCTTATTTTATTTTTATGAGACAGTCTTTTGCTCTGTCGCCCAGGTTGGAGTGCAGCGGCGCAACTTGGCTTACTGCAAACTCCACCTTCCAAGGTCCGGCAATTCTATCTCAGCCTCTCTAGCACCTGGGATTACAGCCCACCAACACACCGGCTAATTTTTGTATTTTCAGTAGAGACAGGGTTTCACCATGTTGGCCAAGCTACTCTCAAAACTCCTGACCTCAAGTGATCCACCTGCCTCAGTCTCCCAAAGTGCTGGAAATATAGGCATGAGCCACCATGCCTGGCCGATAATGTACTGAAAATGGCAAGACTTAAGTAAGAACAGAGGATTTCTTTTTCTTTAGTTTTGAGTTAGCAGTGGAAATCATTGGTTCAGTATGGCCCATGAGATTTCAATTTAAAAAGAGACTTGAATATGATTCTGTAACTAAGATGAGTATTCTGAAATAAAGACAGAATTGCTGACTTATTGACAGAAGGAAATCAAGGCAGTAAATGAGATGCCTGGGGGATGGGACCGGAAAAAGAAATAGGCCTGAAGAAAGTCCTAAGGGTCTGCTACCTTTATATGCAGAAAAAGACTATAAATACAACTTTTGTTAGAAGTACCCACAGAGTCAGGAAAAAAGCCACAGAATATCGTGTTACAAAAGCCAAAGAAGTGTATTTTTAAGGAAAGATTAGGGAAAAGGAGGAAGAAGAAGTTAAGAGAGTCATCAGCATTAATAACCGATAAGAATTCAATATGGAAACTGTATGAGTCCCTTATCACGCTGCTGATAATGACATACCCAAGACTGGGAAGAAAAAGAAGTTTAATTGGACTTACAGTTCCACATGGTTAGGGAGGTCTCAGAATCATGGCAGGAGGCGAAAGACCCGTCTTACATGGTAGCAGCAGGAGAAGATGAGGAAGAAGCAAAAGCAGAAACCCATGATAAACCCATTAGATCCTGTGAGACTTATTCACTATCATGAGAACAGCATAGGAAAGACTGGCTCCAATGATTCAGTTACCTCCCCTTGGATCCCACCCACAACACGTGGGAAACTCTGGGAGATACAATTCAAGTTGAGGTTTAGATGGGGACACAGCCAAACCATATTATTCTACCACTGGTCCCTCCAAATCTCATGTCCTCCCATTTCAAAACCAATCATGCCTTCCCAAAAATCTCCCAAAGTCTTAGCTCATTTCGGCATTAACCCAAACGTCCACAGCCCAAAGTTTCACCTGAGACAAGGCAAGTCCCTTCCACCTATGAGCCTGTAAAATCAAAAGCAAGCTAGTTACTTCCTATAAGGAGAGAAAATTAGTAATCCTCAATATGGCCTTCTGGCTACTAAAATAAAGATAAGGTAAGGATTTTCAACTGAACCTGAAAATTTTAACACTGATTTCATTCCTGAGAAAAGTTACAATTGGGGTACAGGTATCGGGTAAGTACAGCCATTCCAAATGGGAGAAACTGGATAAACAAAGGGATTACAGGATTGCAGGGCCCATGCAAGTTCAAAATCCAGCAGGGCTGTCAAATTGTAAGCCTCCGCAATGATCTCCTTTGATTCCAGGTCTCACATCCAGGTCACAATGATGTAAGAGGTGGTTCTATGGTCTTGGGCAGCTCTGCCCCTGTGGCTTTGCAGGGTATAGCCTCACTCCTGGCTGCTTTCACAGGTTGGTGTGTTGAGTGCATGCAGCTTTTCCAGGTGCTATCGATGGATCTACCATTCTGGGGTCTGGGGGACAGTGGCCTTATTCTCGCAGCTCCACTAGGTGGTGCCCCAGTAGGGACTGTGTATGGGGGCTCCAACCCCACATTTCCCTTCTGTACTGCTCTAGTAGAGGTTTTCCATGAGGGCCCCACCCCTGCAGCAAACTTTTGGCTAGGCATCCAGGCGTTTCCATACATCTTCTGAAATCTAGGTGGAGATTCCCAAACCTCAATTCTTGACTTCTGTGCACCCACAGGCTCAACACCATGTGCAAGATGCTAAGGTTTGAGGCTTGCATTCTCTGAAACCATGGGCCAACTGTACCCTGGCCCCTTCTAGCAATAGCTGGAGCAGCTAGGACACGGAGCACCAAGTTCCTGGGCTGCACACAGCATGGGTACCCTGGGCCCACCCCACAAAACCATTTTTTTCCTTCTAGGCTTCTTCTGAGTCTGTGATGGGAGGGGCTGCCAGGAAGACCTATGACATGCCCTAGAGACACTTTCCCCATTGTCATAGAGATTAACATGTGGATCCTTATTATGCAAATTTCTGCAGACAATTTGAATTTCTAGTCAAAAAATGGGTTTTTATTCTCTACTGCATTATCAGGTTGCAAATTTTCCAAAATTCCTTTTAAAATGGAACGCTTTTAACAGCACCCAAGTCACCTCTTGAATACTTGGCTGCTTAGAAATTTCTTCCACAGGATACTCTAAATCATCTCTGTCAAGTTCAAAGTTACACAAATCTATAAGGCAGGGAACAAAATGCCACCAGTCTCTTTGCTAAAATGTAACAAGAGTCACCTTTACTCCAGTTCCCAACAAGTTCCTCATCTCCATCTGAGACCACCTCAGTCTGGACTTCATTGTTCATATCATTATCAGCATTTTTGTCAAAGCCATTCAACAAATCTCGAGGAGATTCCAAACTTTCCCACAATTTTCTCTCTTCTTCTGAGCCCTCCAAATTGTTCCAACCTCTGCCTGTTACCCAGTTCGAAAGTTGCTTCCACATTTTTGGGTATCTTTTCAGCAATGCCCCACTCTGCTGGACCCAATTTACTGTATTAGTCCATTCTCAACCTGCTGATAAAGACACACCTGAGATTGGAAGAAAAAGAAGTTTAATTGGGCTTAAGGCTTCCACATGACTGGGGAGGACTCAAAATCAAGGTAGGAGGCAAAAGGCACTTCTTACATGGCAGCAGCAAGAGAAAATGAGGTAGAAGTAAAAGCAGAAATTCCAGATAAGTCCATCAGATCTTGTGAGACTTACTCATTATTACAAGAATGGCACAGGAAAGACCAGCCTCCATAATTCAATTACCTCCCCCTGAATCCCTCCTACAACATGTGATAATTCTGGGAGATATCATTCAAGTTGAGATTTGTGTGGGAACATGACCAAGCCATATCAGAAATGGGATCCAATGGATTTATCCACATGTAGAAAATCAATAACCTTACCAAGATCCCTTTTAGACAAGTTCTGGAGTCAGAAGCTAAATTGGAGCTGGGTTGAATAAATGGGGAGTAATCAGTTGAAACCAACTCTTCTCTTTAAAGGGGCTTAACTCTGAATAGGAATCAAGAGAGGGTATTAACTGAAAAAGAGTATGGGAGGGGATAGTTTTTTTTTAATTTTTAAGGTTTGAGATACCAGACCATGTCTAAATATTGATGAGAAAGAAAGTGGAGAGGGAGAGGCTCAAAATCCAAGCGAAAAATAAAATAAGGTCTGAGGTGACAGCATGACGGGAGGGAATTCTGAGCACACATCTAGAATAGTCTTTTAATATAAAACTGGATAATTACTTTAACATATAGGGGCAGATAAAAATACAGTAGAGGTAGCTATAGATCTGGGTTATGGAGCCTGAGACTCATATTTGGGATGTTGTTTTTTTAGAATATGATACAAAACTACAAAGGTAAAATTAGATTCAGGGACTCGGCAAAACCTGTAAGTTTCATTAACTTGACTGTAAATCAATGAAATCTGAGGTAAGATCTTTCTCACAGAATGAAATGATAAGCTAGATTTAAAATGAGTGGAAAAGATGAAAATATTTATTGCAGTAAAGGAGAGAAAGAATGGCGATTACACAAAACAAGTCAGGTTACAGGATTGGGAGCAGTGAAAATCAAATTCATGATCCACTGTATTTGGCCCATTTCTGTGACATTTTGCCAGCAACCTTCAGGTACTCAGTACAGACGCAGAAAAGATGAACAGCTTAATGAAGGTCAGAGAACAGGGACACGGTGCCAGTAAGGAATGGGGGAAAGAGAGTTGTAGGTATTTAGATGAACAAGGAAGGAGTAAAGTACAGAGAAGGGGTAAGAGGAGACAATGAACTAGAAGTTCTCAAAAAGCTGAGGTACTTCTGCAGTAGGGGTACTTTGACAAACAAATTAAAAGTCATCCCCAGTGTAGTACCATTAGTTCAAAAAAAGATATTAGGAAGATATATGTACAAAGTAAGAAAAAATTCTGAAATAAATTATTTTTACTGAAGCAAACACATAGTTCAAGTGAAAACGTATTAAGGCCACATTTATACAGCACAATCACTGAAGCAACCTACTAACACCAAGTACAAAGACTTCAACACTGGATTGACAAATTAAGTATTTTAATAACAACCACTTTTGGGAATTAATATAATAAAGGTAGAAATGTTCACACAGGGTATTATAAACAGTGCCTAGTCACAACCTGATCAGACCTACTCACTGCATCAGATACAGTGTTCTACTTCAAATAAATCAGAATTATTAAGATGGATGACCCAATATAATGTACTGTGCAATATATTCTACATATATATAAATTTATATATATTAACTCATATATAGCGCATACACACACACATATATATAACTTATATGTAAGTTGTTAGCATTTGAAGCAAACAAAAGTGTACCGATACCTCAATAAGACTTTTTAAAGACCCAATATCTGAATTAGTAACTGTCTTTTTCTGATTCCCAAATCATCTATATTCAAACAAAAACTTCAGGAAATCCACTACTTAGGATGGTGAAGAAAAAAACATTTTTTCAACTTTTACATTTTAGCTGATCTGGAAAAAGATAACTTTCAAAAGTTGATGCATTGGGTGATTTGAGAAAAACAATTTTTCAAAAGTTTATGCTTTGGGACCTAATATTACTACATGAAGTTACATCTAAAGAATCTCCTCCTTATCAGGAAAACCAAACAGAAACTGGTTAGGCCAAATTTTAAGAAACAGGTATTTATCTTAAACAGAGTAGTATCACTCTTAACGGATTTTTCAAAAGACAGAATACAACTTTTTCCTGAAAAACTACTATCTACATTTATAACCACTCAGAAAGTGAGAACTCTGTAATACTCTATGCTAACTTGCTAAATTCCATTTTCAACATGGAAAAAAAGAAAGTGAGCATCATACCAAGCCCAGTATCTAACTCCAATATTATCTTCAAAGGATCTACCAACCATCCCATCAATCCCTGTTTTCCAACAAAATAGTATCACAGAAGCCCTCTCACTAGAAAAAAAAAACATAAGATAAAGTCTCAATTAATATGTGATAATGCACTCCATATATTCCTTTTCATTCATTCACTTCTGTACTATATGCAAGTAACAGTAGCAATCCAACAAAAATTACTAGACAGAACAAATCAAATTAAAACTAAAACTCACTAAAAAAAGTAACTGAGAAAAATGAACTAATGAATAATAATATCTCTTCACTTGTAATAAAAAGTAAATGCATAACTATACCTTCAAGTACTCCCACAGCTAGGAATCTTCCATAGAACAACTCTACCATGGGGTTCTTTGGCTTCTCTTCATCCCTAAAGTGTGTCAAAAAATGTAAATGATTATAATTTTTGGACCTACAGAGAAAATATTAAAAGAACTATAACATATGACAAGACAGAAACACTTATGTGGCTATCACGCACTTGCACTTAGCTCTGTTATTTACAGTGTTACCTTGCTCAAGGTACTTAAATTTATTCTTCCATTTCTTCACCTACCAACTGAGGATTATTATGATAGTTGCACTCACAGGACTCTCAGAGGGTTAAAATGAGTTACTACATGTAATGAACTTCTAAGAGAAACTGACACAGTCTGTTCCAGCTTGATATAGTTCCTGCTCTTTCCATCATCATTATATATTTCAATCTCATACTTTTAGTCTGTATACTGCATGTTTATTTGGACTTGGGAAGGAAGGAAATCCACTTTTAATTAAAATAGATTTCTACAAAATGTTGTTATTTCCTGTATTTACATGGAAGAGTACAAATAATCCAAAAACAACAACCCTCACCAGGGAAGAAACAAGGTATCAGTTTTTGACCCAAAGTAGCTAAAGAGCTACTCCATCCTTTTCTGAAGTTTCACACTGCTAGTAGAACTAGTCATTTACAAATTTTCCACGTCATTTAATACAAAAATACATTTTTTTCTTTTCTGCTTGAAACAGACAAAAGTTGGTAATTTTAAGCTGTCTTGTTGTGGTTTGCCTGACCTAAAAAGGCAAAGTTTATCTTGGCCTGGCTGTTTAGAAACGTGTATCCACAATTGTGTACAGACTGTTCATTACTAATTTGTCTTTATATTAATTGATTTGTTAACTATTGTTCAAAACGGGGGAGAGGAAATACTATCTCTCTTGATGAATGGGTCATCATTTAATTCTTAGAATAACATTGATACGTACTTCACTTAATTTTTAAAACAACCCCATTAGGTAGTGTACTAGTCTTTAGTGCTACTGAAAAAATTCTGGCCCTTCACCTTCAGGTACATGGTAAGATACACTATCCTACTCACTTCTTAAAACTGATAAAACGCACATAACCCTTTAACCATACACTTCTGTAGCGGTTCTGTAATGTTAAGAATATTCACGCTATTGTATAACCAATCTGGGAATTCTTTTCCTCTTGCAAAACTGAAACTCTATATACATTAAACAACTCCTCATTTCCCCCTTCCCGCAGCCTCTGGCAACACCATTCTACTTTCTGTTTCTATGAGTCTGATAACTCTTGATACCTCACATAAGTGATTTACAGTATTTGTCCTTTTGTAACTGGCTTATTTCACTTTGCATGATGTCTTCAAGGGTCATGTTACAGCATGTGTCAGAACTTCTGTGCTTTTAAGGATGAATAATATTCCACTTTATGTATATATAGCACATTTTGTTTATCCATTCACCTATCAATGGATATCTGGTTTGCTTCCACCTTTTGGCTATTGTGAATAATGTTGCTATGAACACAGGTGTACAAATATTTCTTTGAAACCCTGCTTTCGATTCTTTTGGATAAACACCAAGAAGCAGAATTGCTGGATCATATGGTGATTTTAGTTTCAATCTTTTAATAAACTCCAAAACTGTTTTCCACAGTGGCTGCACCATTTTACATCCTCATCAACATTGCAGAAGGGTTTCAATTTCTTCACATCCTTGCAAACCCATGTTATTTTCTTGGGTCAGTGGGGGTTAGGAGGTTCTTTTGTTTTGTTTATAGCCACCACTCTAATTAGTGTGAGATATTCCTACTCACTTTGAAGTTAGACCACATAGCTCTTCCCAAGAAAATGTGAGCAGAAGTGATGTGTGTCACTTCCGGGCAGAAACTTGAAGAACCAGTATAATTTTCACTGCCAGCAAGATCCCAGAAACCTAGGTGACCCTGGGGCCCTGAGTGAACAGATAAACAGAGCCACTTGTTCACATGCACTGCTACTTCATGTCCCTGGCCTTCATGCTTCTACGTAAAAGGGTTTTGTCAGAATTCACATTCCTGACATCTTTCTCCACCTCAAACTCATTCCTCCTCATGAAAAGTGATTACTGAATCTAAGAAAAGGAACTGGGCATGTAAGATTATCTATTTCCGGGATCACTTTTTAGTTTCTGGTTAGACTATTATTTATGCCTGCAAATTCTAAATAGCTCGTAAATAATACAGAAAATATTGGGATTCCCATAAGTCTGTCTTAGTTTCTTATTTCCCCGTTGACATGCTATCCAATAATTCCTAAAACCCCATCTCCAAATTTCATGGTAACTTACGTCTCCTCTTCAGCTTTCATTTGGAAGGCATCTTCTAACCAATCTAATAATTTGTGTGTAAACTCACTCACATCTTGCTGTGGAAAGAAAAAAGCCTATTGATATTTGAGCCTACTAAAAAAATACTAGATGTTGTAACATCAAACCTAAAGCCAGTTATTGAAATATATAATTACCAACTCCTTACAAAGATACAAGTGAAATTTTCACATAAAATGCAAGGAACTTTAATAATTTAACCAAGATATAAGATATTTGAAAAAACAAGTCTTATATTCATAATCAATTATTAGGAAATAATTTGGGGAAAAAATACACAAACATACCCCCCAAAACCCAAACTTACAAATGAGATTATTTTTATTATTATTATGCTTTAAGTTCTCGGGTACACGTGCAGAACATGCAGGTTACATAGGTATACACGTGCCATGGTGGTTTACAAATAAGATTAAAAAAAAAAAAATCACTACTCCCCTCCAAATGAGCTCTGTAATGAATCTTTATAAAATGAAGAACTCATCTCACCAAACAGTTCTGCATTTTACAAAGAATTATTACTGGCTTCTCTCTTAGAAGGAAGACTAGTCCTTTTCCACAATTCATTTTCTTAATTCAACTTATATAACTTTTTAAGCCATATATACCTTTACTACCATTCAGAACCAGCTCATCTATCACCTTTCACCATTCCTTTCTTTGGTCCTTGCTCTCCTAACACACAAAAACAGGAATAGGTTGTGGCAGCTGTTATCAGCTACCATAATTCTTTCAATAACATGAGTTGGAACATAGAAAATAATAAATAGAATGTAAGGGAAAAACAAATTAACTCTACGAAGGCTGCTTAAAGACAGATCAATCAGGAATAAGCATTCTGCCCTTACTTACAAAGTAGCCCCAAATATAAAACAAACTTACTACTGTATATTTTTTCAACCAGTTTTTTAAAGAGCATGTAGGCCAACTTATTAACCTTAAAAAAATGTTGAAACTAAGGACTGGGAAGCTTAAGCAAATTGCTCCAAAGCTGTAGCGTTAAACAGGACCAAACTCAACACAAGAATCCAGCTGTAAACATTCACAACATCTGTAGTGGGTTGAACAGTAGCCCACAAAAATATATGTCCACCTAGTCCCTCAAAATGTGACACCAGTTGGAATAATGGTCTTTGTCAATATAATTAAGGTAAGGATCTTGAGATGAGATCAGCCTGGATTAGGGCTGGGCCTAAATCCAATGGTGAATGTTCTTATAAGAAACAGGAAAACCAGAAGACAGACAGACACATGAGGGCAAGCCATACCAAGAGGGAGACAGCGACTGGAACTAAGCTGCCTCAAGCCAAACAACACCGGCAGCCACCAGAGTATGGTGGAAGCAAAGAAGGATTCTCCCCTGGAGTCACTGGAAAAAGTATGGCCCTGCCAACACCTTTATTCTGGACCTCTGGCCTCTCAGACCGTTAGAAAATAATCTCTTGTTTTTAACCACTCACTTTGTGGTAATTTGTTAACAACCATCCTTAGGAACTACTGTAACTCCTTAAAACAACTTTTCATACTTTTGTATAACTTTAATTCACCTAAAGGTTATATCTAATAAAAAACAAAAGAGTTTCCTAGCAATCACAATATTCTTCAGAAGTTAATTCCTTTTTTTTTTTTAGAAATCAATCTGAAATTGACAATTATAAAATAAAAATTCTACCTACATCCATCAAGAGAAAAAAAAATAACAAGATCTTCACTGTATTTTAGTTTTAAGCTGAAACAATTAAAGGTATGATTAAAATTGACAGTATTGATCAGGGCCAGGTGCAGTGGCTCATGTCTATAATCCTAGCACTTTGGGAGGCCAAAGCAGGAGGATAGCTTGAGCCCAGGAGTTCAAAACCAGGCTGGGCAACATAAGGAGATCCTGTCTTAATAAAAATAAAATAATTTGCCAGGTGCAGTGGCATATGCCTGTGGTCTCAGCTACTTCGGAGGCTGAGGCATGGGCCCAGAAGGTTGATGCTGCAGTAAGCCACTGTCATACCACTGTACTCCAGCCTGAGTGACAAAAAAAAAAAATGTCTTTAAAAAAAAAAAAAAAAAGGAAAGAGAGGAAAGAGAAAAAATTAACAGTATCACATACCAAAGGGTATCCCAAGACTCTTGTGTACTTCAAAATATGATATATTTGAAATATTTAGGAAGAAGATACAATGAAAATATAAATTCACTTTAAAAAAAATCATGATGCTTACCTCATTTACGGATTCACTAAATTACCAGTGTAGACTTCAGACCCAAGTGTTTAGGGAACAAAGCAGAATCAAACTTATCAAGCTTAATTGATATACATCTACTTTAAAAGGCTTCTAAAGAAAAAGAATCACTAATTTCCAAAGTCAGTCTACACTGCCAGTCTGAAGCAAAAGCATTCATACTGTGGCCTTAACAGCCCCGCCCAGTTGTAACCATTTCAACTCTAACTCAAACTGAAAAGCCCACCTATGTACAAATATGGCTCCAAATGAAGTTTATACTGCCTCATCTTTAAATATGAAAAGATACCCCAAAATCACTAAGAACTTCTAGAAAAGAAAAAAGAAACCAAGAAAAAGACAAGGAAAAGGCATCCAGAAGAAAAGATAAGTCAGAGAACAGAAGTAATTTTTTAAAAATTTAATTGTATACTCAGAGTCACTGGAAGACAGTATGCATACTAAAGAAGAAAAAAAATAAAAATAAAACACATTTAGAACCAGAAGGAACGCCGAATGCTCTAAAATGGTGGTTTGGGATCAATTGCAGAATTATTTTTATTTCTTTTTAATTGTGTTAGCACTGGAGCATTGTTATAATTTTTTTTAAATGAAAACAACATATAAAAAAACTCTGATGTGAGTGCCCTTTTGGTTCATTTACATTTGCCATACAAGGTAAATTAAAAACAGAAAGAAAAAGCACAAGGAAGGTGGTGACAGCATCTCAGACTTTCCTCTTCCAAACACCTTCTCCATACATCTACAAAACAGAGACACATCTAAGTAAGTACTTTTAAAAATGACAGGGCAAGCTTAGTGGCTTTTTGAAACTTCTGCCCATGACGTGTTTGCTGCCATCTTTTTGAACACTTACTATTCTTTGCTAATTTGTTCCTCTGTTTTCCTTCTTTAATTTCTCCAACTTTTCCAATTACATGTGAAAATGTTGGTTTATTTATAGATATTTTGTATTTTTATAGGAAAATTCCCAATATTCTTTTAAGGTAATGGTTAAAAATCTACCACAATACACTACATAAAGTATAAAAAACGAAAGCAACATAACAAAGACAATGTCTTTCAAAAACCATTTCTGGGTAATTAAGGAAAACTACTCCCTGCCAGCAAACACAGGAATATCAAAAAACATGTGTACAATAATGATCCTGGGTTATCTGTGAAGATGTTTAATTATGTATTTGTAAATAATCTTAATTTTATCCATTGTTTTCATTTTAATCATAATATAAATTAAAAATTTATTTAACACCTTCAAGATCACTTTTCTCTTAAAAGTAAGTCTCCAAATGTTTTAAACGGTTCAGGTTATTTTTAATAAAGCAGAATCGTGCGTCTTAAATAATCTCAAATTCCTGGGAAAGCTGCTTAATGATTGCTCAGATTAAATAAAATACAAATGGTTTATAAATAAGTGCAACAAAACTACCTGCTGTGAGTCATTCGATTTGAAAGCATCCTTAAGAATTTCAACTGCTCTTGATGGATCAACATATTTCCTTTTGGTACCAACAAGGAGTGCAAATAGATACCTCAGCTCACGCATAAAAGGCAAATTCCGATGTTCCTATTGAAGGAAGAAAAAAAAACTTAACTGAAGATTAAAAAATTTTTACTAGTAAATAGATACTCATTTTAACAGTAACCAAAAAGTAAACTAGCTAATATAGATTAGGGATGAATTAGCACTCTATCATAACTGAAAGAAGAATGTTGGTGCCATCTAAATCTAAGAGCCTCAAAGAAGTCAAGCACATAAATAGCAGAAGACCTAGTATAGGCTCACAATTTCAGCATGAATGCCACAAATTCACAGCAAATCATGTCACTACTCAGCCAAGAATATCTTCCTCATTCAAGCCTGTTTATTATAATACTTGCCATTCAGCAAGGCCCAGCTGCTCCTGCTGAGAGCAATAATAACAGGCAACAGTCAATGAGTGTTCACTACATGCCAGGTACTGTTCTAAGTGCTTTATCTCAATAAACCCATTTAAGCAAAAATCTCTACTCTTCCATGAAGCCTTTCAAGACTCCTCCAAGCCAACGATCCCTTCAAATTCCACATCTACTGAAATAAATGCCTTTCAGTGAGCAATGAATCACCAACTGTCACTGTGGTGTGACAATCTTAATTATTAGACTAATATTAAAACATTGCCCAATTATTAGAAATTTAACAAATAGTAATTATGTTTATGTATTTACTAGAAACTACAAAATTATTTATACTCATTTATATCTATTTTAATAGACATAAACATATTTAACATAATTCAATCACAATTACATTTAAATTTATTAATAATTAGACCAGATCCTAACAGGAGACTAATATATCATCCTCCAAATATTCCTTTGAAATCTTATTTTTGTTTCTCAATAAGGGTATAAGACCCTCAGAGACAAGAATTTTATAACTCTTCCACAACTTTTACTACACAAAGTAGGCATTCAATTCTTACTGGTTCATTAAGGCAAAATCTCCAGAAAAAAATTAAAACAACCCACACTATCAATCACTATTTTAAAACAAGAAGGAAAAGTTTAAAAAATAACGTAACTCACATAACTTAGTGAAATGTTTTATGACAACAAACCAGGCAAGCAAACCTTATAATATTTAGTTCTTATAATAACAATCTTAACAGAGAAAATTTAAATGTACTATTTAAATATGATAATTTTATTCCAAATTTACATAGTTGGCATTCTCAACACATTTGTACGATTCTAGGGTCAAATTCTAGGGGTCTGGGATGGGGGTGTATATTTACATAGTTGCTCTCCAGAATAATATAATCTACATAGAATGAACTGCTTCTAGAATACATTCCAAAAAAGAGTCCTAATAGGTAAGAGGGAATAAAACTGGTTCCAAATACTGCCTTACAGAAATAGATTTTAAAAGTACAAACGCCATGAGTTTTAATCCATAAAATTACTTCCAAAAGTACCTTTAATTTCCTGAGATCCATCCCTTTATCACCGCATCTAAGTCAATGCAGTTTTTTGAGACATTCCCAGTAACAATGTTGGAAGTAATAATTTTTGGAAATTAGGGGAATTCTGCTGAGAAATATATTTGAAAAGTATATTGTTTCCTAGTTTCTAGAAGATTTTACCACAAATGAGATTGTAGCTTTCCGTCAAATCATTTTTCTTCATCTACAGAGATGATAATACGGTTTTTCTTCTTTAGTCTATTGATATGGTGAATTATACCTATTTATTTTTGAAAGCTAAACGAATTTTGTATTCCTGGATAAGCCCCACTTCTCTATGAGGTATTATCGTTTATATATGATTGCAGGATTTAATTTCTCAAAAATTTGCTACAACTTTTTGCTTCCATATTCATGAAAAATATTAGTGTGTGGTTTTCTTCAAATATGTTTTCCTACTTTTAGTTTAAGGGTAATGCTGAGTTGAGAAGTTTTACTTCTTCATTAACTGTTGAATTTTTGGTGGATGGGTTCTAGTTCCTTTAATATAATGTAGGGCTAGCACAGGTTATCTATTTCTTCACCAGTGAGCTTTGATAGCTTATGACTTTCAAGATATTTATCCGTTGTTTTTAATACTTCACTCTTCTCCTTTTACTATCTACAGAATATGTAGTGATGTTTCCCTTTTTCACGCCTTATATTTGTAATATGTCTCCCCTCTTCCTTCTTGCTTAGTCTACGTAGAAGTTCATCAATTTCACCAATCGTCTCAAGAAGCAGCTTTTGGTTCCATAATTTTTCCCTATTGTTTTTCTGATACTTAGTTCATGGATTTCTATTACCTTTATTATTTCCTTACTTCTGCTTTGAGATTAATGTGCTCTTAACTCTCTAATGTCTTGATATACAAGCTGCTATCATTAACTGAAAACCATTCTTCTTCTCTAGTAAGATATCTGGTTTCTATATCTTCCCCTAATCACTGTTTTAGCTTCCTCCCTCTAATTTTGATATGTCATGTTTTAATTTTCATTCCATTCAGAATATTCTGAAATTTCTCATTTGATTTGTTCTTTGTCCCTTGAGGTATTTAGAGGTGAATTACTTCATTTTCAACTATCTGGGGATTTTCTGTATATCTTTCTGTTGTTGATTTCTACTTTAATTTCTACCATTTTAGTCAGAAAAGATATTTTGTATGTTTGAATCCTTTAAAATGTACAGAGACTCGTAAATCCAGTTCCTGTTACTGCTTCATGGCTAATGGCAGAAATCTCAGAATGCCTCTTTTATTTGCAAAATTCAAAATTCTTTCAGGTATTTGTTCCAAGAATATAGTATGGTACTCAACTAAACCCATTTCCTTCTGATGACGTTCACTAAGTGAGATAATTGTTTATCTTGAAATATTTGCCCTAAATCAGGACTAAATAATTAACCTTCCAATTAATAAGGCTTTAGCTGTTTATATGATTTCCACTAAACAGTATACGTGTACATCTTTGTTTTCTCAACATTTAATATGTTTTGCCATCAGTTTGTAACATTTTAAGTCAAAAGTATATCTGTGTGAAAAGAGAGGGTATAATTACGTTGAGGATCTATTATTATATTTCCAGGCACCTCACAATTCTCCTAGACACTGAAATTACAAACAATTCAAATTTTAAGAGTGTCTAAAATTGCTTTCAATTTTTACAAGCAATAGCTAAGTCTACCTAAAATACAAACTAATTTCAAATAATTCATTTCTTTCTCTCACTCAGTATGTATGTAATATTTGTGGCCAATTTTTACAGCAAAAAATATCCTGTTTAAAAGTACACACAAATGGCATCTCTGTGAATGGATCAAAGTAATCCCAAATGTATTCTGCATCTTAACACAGGAGTGTTCAAACTGAATGTAGCTGTAGATATGTCATGAGTTGGAGATGAATTCATTATTAAATAAGTGACAAATTACACTGATACCTTTTTATAAAACCTGTTGTCACCATCTCAAGTGAATACAGGACCATTCAGTGGCTGGTAACTACCTATAAATTCCACATTTGCTTCAAAGATGTCAAGGTACATCATGTACTGCTGTCACTATACTAAATTAAAGAAGAGTCACATTGTGGAATAATTTTACATAAAATTGCACAGTATTCTAAGTAACTGTCTCAGAACAGAAATGAGAATTCTTTTATTTACTTAAGAATACATGGAGAGGATGACCCATTGCAAGAAACAAACTTCTCTAGAAAGGTGCTGAAGATTGGAATTATACATTTCTCTAGTATTCACAACTAGTTCTGATATGTAAGCATGGATATAACAATTATTTTAAAAATAAGATTACAAACTAACATGGTCGCATTCAACTCTGTGAAGAAGAAGTTAAAGATCTGCAAAACATTAAAATCTGGGAGCATAAATGGTCAAGACACATATACATACATACATAACTAGAAATGATAATTCTAAACAATTTCATAAAAATTATACATTTACTTTAACTGAAATATGAGAAGAGAGAAGAACCGTGATATTCACAAGTTGCAATGACAGAAAGCAATACTTCAAAAGTTCCATATAAAAACCATGATGATTTTCCTTAATTTCTCTCGAGGCATAAGAGGTTGTCAGGTGATCCTAACTCCCTTTTGAAAATGAGTTATCAGTCTGACACTTTACAGTCCAGAGATTATAACCTGAAAAACTGGTTATAAATCAAGTTATCTTCCCACTAGTGTGCATTATAAATGTTTCACAGTTTACAGAATAAGTGGTTTTAAAAATTAAATGCTAAAAGGAGAACATAACTTACCACTCCTACTAACAACAGGTCACAAAAAGTTCAGCAGTTAACTGAAACCTAAAACTAACTTCTTTGTCTCTGCAACAAGTCCACTTTAGGACTACAGATTGTTTATGACAATATCAGTCACTAAACCCCTACACTCAACTACATCCTCTCCATAACTTTTTTTCATTCTGTATAAACTCTGTGTGCAAATTTGTCCTTTTTAAATTAAGTCTTTAAAAACTTCTTATCGTTTAACCGACAACAGCTGACACCTAGAACTTAACTATGTACCAAGCACTTTTAAGTCTCTTCCATGTTTTACCTCATTTAATGCTCACAGCAACTCTATGAAATAATTACTATTATTATTTACACTTTACAGATAGGAATTGGAACACAGAGAAGGCAAGTAACTTGCTCTAGATCCATAGCTAAAACCCAGGCAATCTGGCCCTGGTATGTCTGTTGTCACTTTATATTACCTATCTATGATATTACTTCCAAAATGGAAGGTATAGACTTATACACCAAAGACAAGAGTGCAAAACTCATTTTTAAAGGGCTCCACAAGACAATCAATTGAAAAGAAATTCTGATTTCCACAAAATTTTTCAGGAGACAACTGAAGAAAGACCTTAATTGTAAATTGTAGCCTATAAAGTTTACTGAAATTTGACAGTCCAAAAAAAATTTACTAAAGTGACACCAAAAATTGGCATATTACTGAGACAAGTAAAAAAAAAATCGTATTTATATTAATGAAAGATAGGTAGTTGCTATCGTAACTGAGATTAATGAATTGACATTCAAATTTTTAGTTTCAGATTTGATGAGCCAAATAAATGTCCAAAAAGCAATCACATATAAGATAACATATCGAATATATATACTGCTAAAAAAATATTTTAAATTTTACCTTTTGGTTTCGGGGTAAATCTTGAGCATTTGATAGAGGCTTATAATTCAGAACTAATCTTCTAAATTCCAAAAGATTGAATAATGACTGAAAAAGAGCAACAATTTAAGATAACCTGAGGGAAAATTCCATTAACAGAATGTAAAAATGACTAGTCTTAGAGATTTAATTTTGACAACTGTATACTACTTACACACATAATCGTTACAACTAGCACAAAATGGACACATTTCTGAGAAAAAGTCAAATTTCTTGTATTTGACATACTATTCTTAATACTTGATACTGCACAAGATTATATTTGGACAACTTTTTAAAAATACTACTCATTATTAAAATCTCTTTTTATATGCACTTAAGCAGTTTCCTCAAAATCAAGGGTAAGTAAATGTCAAGTCTAAACTTTTTAAACACGCTATGTTTATCATGAATTATCTAGATGTATCATTAATTCCAGAAAATACAGTACAAATAAATTTATTCATCAGATCCTAGGTGACAGAGTAACAAAGAAATTACATATTATCTCTATGTTCAAGGAAACTTAGAAAGGAGACATACAATTATAATAGAAAGATAACTTCACGATATAGTGACAATGATTACACATGAATATAATGAGAGCACATGAAGGATACTCATGGAAAGGCTTCCTAGAGTATGTCTTTGGAACCGTAGTTTGCAACCATTTACTATCATCATGCTGAACATTTGTTTAAAATTGATAAAATACAATGGAAAATATCACAATGTATCATACTCAGTAAATTCTGAGTATTTTCTTGCAAAATTTTAATTGTAGATATTTTACAAACGTGACATGTACAAGGTTTTATAATATGCAGCATATTCCTTTCTTGGGTCACAGTTTATAAAATTTAAAAATTACTACACAGAAAGTGAAAATGTATTAAATCTTAGAAAAAATGAGTCGGCTGGCCAGGCTCAGTGGCTCATGTCTGTAATCCCAGCATTTTGGGAGGCCAAGGCTGGTGGATCACGAGGTCAGGAGTTCAAGACCAGCCTGGCCAATATAGTGACATCTCGTCTCTATTAAAAATACAAAAATTAGGCAGGCAATGTAGTGCGTGCCTGTAGTCCCAGCTACTCAGGAAGCTGGGGCAGAAGAATCGCTTGAAGCCAGGAGGCGGAATGCAGTGAGCCAAGACCATGGCATGGCACTCCACTCCACTCCAGCCTGACAGACAGAGAAAGACTCCGTCTCAAAAAAAAAAAAAAAAAAAAGAAAAGAAAAGAAAAGATGAGTCAACCAAACTGACAGAAGATAAAGGTGGCACCACAAATCAATGGGGAAACAAGGTTTTGATCAAGAGCTGGGTACTGAGAAAACTACATATAAAGAAATAGGGCCAGATTACATAGATCAATTAACAACCTAAATATGAAAGGTAAAACCATAAAGCTGGTAACAGAAACTGTAGAAAAGTATTTCATCTTGTGATCTAGAAAGACTAAACAGTATAAGCACATAAAATAATTTATTTAACAAATATTTATGGGGCACCTACTATATACCAGACACTAAGAAAGTAGTCTCTGCCCTTGTGGGGAGTATAGTCTTGTAACTGCTGGTTAAAACAATGAGAGTAGATGTAATAAACCAGAAGGGATATGAATACATTAACAGTTGCCCAAGATCAGAACCCTGGGGAGAAGGCACCATTTAAAAGTCACAGAAAAAAAACAAGAGTTTTGAGAAAGAGAAAAGAATACTAAGGGAAATCACAGAAGAAAAAGGAGTGGAGAAAGCAAGGACTTTCAAACATACTTGTGTATTGGAATAATAAATTGTGGAGCTTTAAAAAATAGCAATGTCAGGCCAGGGGTGCTGGCCTATGCCTCTAACCCCAGCACTTTGGGAGGCCAAGGCAGGTGGATCATGAGGTCAAGAGTTCAAGACCAGCCTGGTCAACATGGTGAAACCCTATCTCTACTAAAAATACAAAAATTAGCCCGCGTGGTGATGTGCATCTGTAATCCCACCTAGTCGGGAGGCTGAGGCAGGAGAATTGCTTGAACCCAGCAGGCAGAGGTTGCAGTGAGCTGAGATGGCGCCATTGCACTCCAGCCTGGGCAACAAGAGCAAGACTCCATCTCAAAAAAAGAAAAAAAAAGCAATGTCAGGAGACTCTCAATAAAGATACAAAGTTCCACAAAGGATTCTGCTGTACATCAAAGAATAGCTGGCACATTTCAAGGAGAACAAGGTGAGCAGTATTATGACACGCTGCCACATTCTTCCAATAAAGTAAAGACAGGGAAATAACCTTTAGATTTGGCAACTGGGAAGTCATGTTTTCAGTTGAGTAGTAGAGGAAGAACAGAGGCATTAAATAATGGGAAAATTCGGCATAGAGTAGGTCCTCTTATCCAAGAAAGATACATTCCAAGACCTCCTGTGAATACCTGAAATTGCAGATAGTACTGAAACCCATATATATCATGTTTTTTTTTTCCCTGCAAAACTACAATAAAGTTTAATTTATAAATTGGGAACAGTATGAGACTAACAATAACGAATAACAAAACAGATCAATTGTAAAAACATACTGTAATAAAAGTTGTTACATGAATATGGTCTCCCTCTCCTTCTCTCAGTACTGTAATATTTTCAGCCACAATTAACAGCAGGTAACTGAAAGAGTAGCAAGTGAAATCAAAGATAAGCGGGACTACTGTTAAGTAGGGGAGACAAACCATGAACTATACTTTTGAGGAATTTAAAGAGGAAAGAGAATGGCTTTTTAGAAGAATCTCAATAATTCTATTCTCTGAGCTCACATTGTAGAATATTTTCCTTATTCCTGGACAAGGATCTTCCTTTGGTGTGGGTCTGCTGGTGAAGAATTATTTCAGCTTCTGTTGACTAAAACTGTTTTTCTTTTATTTATTTATTTATTTATTTTTGAGATGGAGTCTTGCTCTGTTGCCCAGGCTGGAGTGCAGTGGTGTGATCTTGGCTCACTGCAACCTCTACCTGCTGGGTTAAAGCAATTCTCCTGCCTCAGACTCCTGAGTAGACAAGACTATAGACATGCACCACCATACCAGGCTAATGTTTTCAGTTTTTAGTAGTGACGGGGTTTTATCATGCTGGCCAGGCTGGTCTTGAACTTCTGACCCCATGACCCGCCCACCTCAGCTTCCCAAAGTGCTGGGATTACAGGCATGAGCCACCACGCCAGTCATTTTTCTTTATTTTTTACTGCCTAAAGAGCGTTTTTGATTGATGCACCTGAAAATAAGCATCCTTTCATTCGCTCCAAAGCTAATGTGTCAATTTTGAAAAGGACTTACAAAAATGAAGTTTGGTTAGATTCTTGCTAATAACAAACACCTAATGGGAGATAAGAGTTCAAATAATTCATGCTGCCTGTTTCTTCCTCTGGTAGCTTCGTCCCAGAAGGGTACCCATCAGATGCCAGCCAGAGCTCTCCTGTATGAGCTATCTGCCAGCCCCCGCTGGGAGGTGTCTCCCAGTCAGGATACACAGGGCTCAGGGAGCCACTTGAGAATGCAGTCTGTCCCTTATCAGAACTCAAGTGCTGTGCTGGGAGATCCGTTGCTCCCTTCAGAGCTGCTGGACAGGGACGTTTACATCTGCTGAAGATACCCACAACTGCCCCTATCCCAGGTGCTCTGTCCCAGGAAGGTGGGGGGCTTTATTTATAAAGCCTGACCGGCTGCTGCCTTTTTTTAGATACCCTGCCCAGCAAGAAGGGAGTCTAGTGATACAGTCTGCCTGCAGTGGCCTTGCTGAGCTGCCGCGGGCTCCTCCCAGTCATTGTGTAAACTTCCCACAACTTTGTTTACACAGGTGAGACTAAAGCGGCCTACCCAAGCCTACGCAAGCCTCTGCAATGGTGGATGCCCTCACCCTACTGAGCTCCAACACCCCAGGTCAAGCTCAGACTGCTGTGCTGGTTGTGAGAATTTCAAGCCAATAGATCTTAGCTTGCTGTTTTTCGTGGGGGTGAAACCCACCCAGCCAGATCTGTTGGCTCTTTCACTTCAGCCCTCTTTTTCAGGTGAATGAGCGGTTCTGCTTCACTGGTGCCCCAGGCCCCACTCGGGTATGAAAGAAATAAACTGTTGTGGCTAGCTCAGTGTCTTTTTAAACAACCACTAAATTTGTACTGGATTTGTAGGCACCGAAGGAAGTCTCCTGGGCTGCAGGCTGTAAAGATCATGGGAAAAGCACAGTATCTGACCCAGAGTGCCAGAAAGCTGGGAAAAGTCCCTAATGGCTTCCCTTGGCTAGGAGAGGGAGTTCTCCAGCTCCTTGTACTTCCTGGGTGCGGTGACACCCCACCCTGCTTTGCCTTGCCCTCCTTGGGCTGCACCAACTGTCTAAATAGTCCCAGTGAGATGAACCAGGTACCTCAGTTGAAACTGCAGAGATCACGCGCCTTCTGCGCCAGTCTGGTTAAGAGCTATGCACCAGACCTGTTCCTGCTCGGCCATCTTGGAAGAAATTCCGGTAACCGCATACTTTACCATCATACACAGCAGGGCTTTAGGACTGATTGATAGGTGCCAACAGATCTACAATAGGAGTAAACTGGACTATGACAAGCAAACTGAGAAGTATGAGCACCTTACTTCTGGGCAACTCAGAATGGAAAGGTGCTAAGGGGCTAAGGGTCATCATAAGCATCCATACCCACTCAACAACATGTTTCGGAGCTAGAGACGGCAACATACACCTCCAAATAACTAACTCATTCACTGACACCCTACTGGGGAACAGCTGCACTCAGTACTTTCTACATAAAAGTTCCGAGTGAACAGGACAAAAATAATCTTGACTAGGGTTGAGGACCAAACTAAAGACAGGCTAATGTTGCTAGCAACCACAAGATTATTTAAGCCGTTACCGTACAATCTCCCCTTTGTTAATATTCCCTTTCTTACACTCTGTTCCCCCTTTCTACCAAAATATTGCTCTCATTTTCTAAAAGAATAAGTATGCAAAGCTATCTAAACCTGCTGTAGCTTACCCCAGCTATCGACTTTGAAGTTAAAGGGTGATATTCCTAGTAAACTTCCATAACCGGTCAATATATTTATGAGAAAAAGAATTCCCAGTTGTTTCATATTAGCCCTACCAACTAAGTAAATTCCATCCCCAAGAAAACTTTGTAATCAAAACGTTACGGTAAATTTACCTCACAATTAGAGTAAGTTCCAACTCACTTTGGAAAACAACAAAACCTCCAACACAAAGGTATACTTTTGGCCCAACTTTTCATTCATAAGTAAAAAGTCCCTTTATGATGGCAAAGTATTATATCTCCGTTTATATCTAGGAGTTAAGCAATAATGGTAGAAAATCTTTTAAAAGACTCTGCTAAAGATAAAAATTAAAAGCCACTTAAAATAGTTTAATAGACTTTAAAATTACCATAAAAAATAAAACTTCAGGTGATCTCTAGACAAATGTTTCTGCCACCTACCATTTTCTACAATCTGATACTTAGTGTTTTCCACTCCCTCAAAAGTCAGTATCTTATTAGGCCATTATAACCTGAATTTTTAAGCTTATAGGTTACTTCTCCTAGATGTTCAGATGTCACCAAAAGAAAAAAATAAATAACCCAAGCCCTTTTATACTTGCCTATGTTAGGAGTTAAGCAGCCACTAAACTTTAAAACTACTAGTTTTTAAATAAGCTAGGCATTTATTTAAAAGACAATTTTTTTCTAGCCCACTCCCTCTATCTCAAAAATAAAAAATAAAGAAAAATCTAAGCAAAAAAGAAAAGCTAAGATCAGCAAACTTAGGGTAGAAATAGACTGTAAGTGTATCAAGTTTAAACTGAGGTGCTGAAAGAAGTTTGTCCTATTAAAACAAAAGATCATTATCCCTATACCAATATTTATCATTTCAAACAGATCTTCCCTACAAATACAGGGTGGAGAAATAAAAACCAACTATTCTAACCAACAAATATTATTTACAAATACTTTCTTCTTATACTTTTCTAAGAAAAGCTTCTAATCAATGGCCCTCAATTCATCTGCCATAATAGTGCTGAGACAGCATCTACTTGACCCAAAACAGGCAGCAAAACATGTTCATGAACACTCAGTTAAGGACTTTAAAACTATAATTCACATTTTAAAATGATGTCTACATTATAACATCTACAAAACTTCTTAACAAATAGATCTCTTAATAGGCGATGAGATGATCTAAGAAACTCTAATGTATCAAAATTTTAGATATTATTTTTGGCATACAAGTAAATAAAGAATGCATAATCAAGGCTAGAAGCAAAGATACTACTATACATTTACGTTAAGATGCTAAGATTTCTTAGCATCTTGTTGTCCTGGAAAATCCAGTAACATCGAATATTACTTATGAGTATGCACAACATCCTATTAAAGAGTGAGATAAATCTAGAAAACAAAGGAAATCAAATTATACAGCAGTATCCACCAGAAGCAAAAACAAAGAAAAAGGTGAAAACTATAGCACTGAAGTATAAAAAAAGTTAAAATTACAGATTAACTAGCCAAAACAATTAACTTGTAGAAAATGAGCCGAATAACCTGTTAGTTGCCTTAATATCTTAAGAAAGTTTAAGCTGTCACACACACAGGGTTGGAAAGTTACAAAATGAAGATATGTTTTGAATATAAAAAATAGCATGCATGTCCAATGAAGTAAAAAGCATTCATCAGGGACATGAAATAAGCTATCATTCAACTCTCTTATAAAAATAAACACAAAATATTCATTTTCCTAAAAAAATAAAAATTAAGGACATATTACTGATAAATTTTAAAGTTTTGCAATCTGATGAATAACATTATCAATATCAACTGAGAATGATAGAGCTTTGATAACAGTTGTTAACACATAAAACTGTTTCAAATTGAGAAGATGGATATCTACACATACAAATATCAAGAAACATAACATTAGGGATTTCTTAGTAAAAAGACAATGTGTTATTCTTGATTTATCAATTTTTATTCACATCATTTCATATGCAAACTGAGAATTATTTGTAAATCTATACCAACCTCAAATAAAATGTCCCTTCTTGTTAAAAATATTGTCTATAATTTTATAAATTACATTGTCTAGTATATACAAATAAATCTGATCTGACCCACAAAAAGCCACTTCTGATTTCAAACTTGGTTACAATGCTTCCATAAATCTGCAGAGAAATATATACAAAAGTATTTTCACCCAACAATTCCTAAAAGCAAAAAGAGAGGATACATTGATTCCAAATAAGTGAAAGGCGTAAGTAATGATATACTGTTAAAAATACATACTTGAAATGAAAAGCAAAGCATGATAGAAGGATACGGAAATCCCCAAGCTAGTTCATTAGACAAAAGAGTATATTAGAAACTTCTCTGTACTTATGTTTAAAATACACACCTTAAACACGACCAACCCACTTTCCATTGCTATCATATATATCAAATAAGAACTGAATAAAAAAAGATCCTTACCTGGATAACAGCACTAAACCAACAAGTATTGCCAACATTCTTCAGCCCAACGGGAGCTTTGTCCTGCCTTTTTCTATCATAAGGGTTTCGAGAATCCCTCCAAACTTCTGTAGGTGTCCTCTTCAAACATGCTTTATTCTCTGCTATGCTGGCTTCAAGAACTCTTAAGCAATGGTGGGGGAAAAAATATATAGCATTATATAATGGTACATCCCAGGCAATAGCATACCACACATTCTAAAAGCACTTTCATTACATAAGATCTGAATAACATATTTGAAGAAGTAATATTTAATACTAGCTTTACTCAAATAGAGCTTAGTTTTAGCAGTGTCAATGCCAATACATAGAGAAGTGTACCCTTTTTTCCTAAAATGAAATTTCAACCATAAAATGGTAGTGTTATATAATACAAAGTACAGTAAATTACATGTCAACAAAAAGATATTTGTACCAAGAATATAGGGCTTAGATGAATTTTCTGAGAAATAGCTATTAAAGTACATATTTGCAATGTAACATAATGACTACTATTTATAACAATCACTGTGAATCAAGAAAACATTAAAAACTGAACACGCTGCACTTTTGCCACTGACCACTGAGTCCCCCTTCTACAAAAAAAAAGTTAAGTGAGTTAAACTTAATGATTCCTTTCAATTCTTGAAATCTATGTCTCTATGACAGCCAAATAAAGGAAAATGAAACCTGTATGTTCATTGCTTTGTCCAAAAGCTTACCTTTGTAAAAAATTAATGAAATGTTAGAATACATATTAGAATAACAAAAGATTATTAACCTTTCCAAAATAATCTCAACTGCAGAATATCTTAAGTGTATCTAAACATGGCAAAAGTAACACTACTTTGCTTAAAGATGTTTCTTGCTCCTTAGCATGGAACAACATATAATCGTAACTGAAAAACCCTGGTTCCCAAATACGATCTGACCAAGCATTTTGCCTGCTCAAGAAATGTGTTACCTGCTACTTGGCTTCAGCCAAAAAAAAAAAAACAAAAAACCTATTACTTACTATTCTAATTCAGCATAAATAACATTCAGGTATCTTAGCCCAGTTTGTGTTAATTACCAGAACCTCAGCAAAGATTAGTTTTTTTCAACTTTTTGGTTCATCAAGGAAATCTCATTCATTCTACACCATTTTTACCCTAAAGATTTTATCCTGTCAAATTAATGTCAAAATAACATTTTTTTTGACAACAGTATTTATCACAAGACAGTATTTATCACAAGACATTAGATACAATTAAATCTAAAGTATCATTACTTAAAACATACCATGTGAATACAGATGTCAGTCTTTGGAAATCAATAAAACCACACATTTCTTAAAAAAAAAAGGGTAACAACATGATATGTTAAAATATAAACTCATGTGGTTAAAAGTAAACAGTTTACGCTTCTGTCACATTTAAGAGTGACCCAACTGGGCAGCAATACTCTCTGCCCAAAAATGAACTCTCACAGGCAACCCCAGACTCCAGGCATTTTTCACTAAAAGATACCAGAATTCCTTGAAAGATACTTGGTTAGATGAATTGGGGCAGAGGAAAACCAGGGAATATCTCTAACATTCTACTGTTACCAGAAAGCAAGCTTTCAAAAATACAAGAAAGAGATAAAGAGAGTCAACTTGACTCTCCTAGTGGAGATCCAGGAGGTCCTAAAGACTTTCTAACAAGTTAAATTTTGCAGTTCAGCAGAAAATAATAAAAAGCAGAACAAACTGAATTTGTACAAGACTAGTTTATGCTTAAAAAAGAAAGGTTAATGGCACAGTATATAAAAAGTAATACAAAAGACTGACATATAGAGGGCATGTTTAACTTTTTATTGACTTTTTAAAATGATAGTATTCTCATTTGGAAATTTTGTTCCTTTTGTAATATACATGCATATTTAGAAGTTTAGATAGAGCAAACTTATTCATATCTTGGAAATCAAAAATAAATAGACTAACACATGAAGTTCTGGGAAAGGCAGATAAAAACAATAACATAAAAAAATTTAGTACCAGTGATACCTATGTAGGAGATAGAAGAGGCACCCAGTAATTGACTAGTACCATGGCAGGTAGACAATAATTATTTAAAAAGAGAATTCTACAGCATATTCTAAAATATAAACTGGTCAAAAGTCTAAAAGAACCAGACGTAATCCTGTATCTATAGCAGATAAATATCAATCATTATATTTAACTTTTAATCATAACAAGAAACAAATCCTTCTTAGTAATGGCAACAGAGCAGATCATACATATCACAGTAAGCGGGAAATGACTCAAATATACATTAGTTACAGAAAATTTGAGGACATCTGACTTCTGCACAATACACCCTGAGTATACTTTTCATATTCCAGATCTGGGCTAAGATACTAAATCCCAGAACGTCTTTCAAAATGTTTTAAGTACACTCAATTGCTTTATGCCCCTCTTCTGCTCTAGCAAAAAAATATACACCACTTGATTCCTATGTTTACATACAAAATATGTAATGTAAACATCACATTAATATATCGAGATAATGTAAGCTTTTTAGTTCCTTTGCCTCCTCTCTCCCTACACAGGACTTGCAGGAATGTGTGGCCTCAAAGGTACTTTCGAGGAGCAAGCAATCTGCCTGCACCATTTGTCACACTATTCCATAAAGGAAGTTAGAAAGGCAAGAAAGTTAAGGATGCAAACCAAACATCTTCCCAGCATTCCTATTTAACTTTCTTTACAGCAGTCAAATGAGGTACAAACTGTAACAACTTTGACTAAGGTTCCCGAGATGCATATAATTGCTCATTGCTCCTCAAAGTCACCTAAGATTTAAAGATAATAACCATTTCCTAAGTAGCTCAATTCAGTCATATGGTAGATATCATCATTAATTTTAACAAAAGTATGGGTTTTAAAGAAATAGATTTATTATAATACATCCTAACCATACCACATGGTAGAATTATGGTGCTAAAAAAGATGGCAGGTAAAAGGGGAATGCCATAATTTCATGATTCCCTGAACTGAAACAAAATTTTATCACCAGAGTTTTAAAATGCCTCAGTAGGTCTCCTCTTACCATCTCCTCTTGGTTCCTAAAGACCTTTATAAACACACTTATCATTGTACCAAAAATATCAACCAGTGTCTCCAATCAGTGTTTGAAAGTAGAAACAATAATATGCCGTACCTCTAGAGCAAACATTATAAACGGGGGCAAAACAAGTTTTTAAAGTAAATGGATGATTAAGATATTACATGCTGCTACTTCTTGGTTGGTTATTGACTTGGTTGGTTATGAATTGACTGATTGCAAAAAACAACCTCTAGCCCATATACTGCTCTATTGCTACACCTCATCCCTTTATATAATCTAGTACAGGCACCATAAATCCAAACTTTTGTAAAGCAAAATCCTGCATAAGCATTCCTCCCCTGGCCTTATCAATGATGCTACCCATGCTCTTAAGTATAAGGCATGTAATAGCCAAAATCCAGGTATTACCCACAGGTAGAGGTAAAAATAATAATAAAAATAAAATACAAGGAAATCTCAAAGAGCTCAGATATAGCCTGTAACAAAATGCGGCATGTTGAAGGGTAAACTCATAAGCCACGAACCAAAACCCAGCCTGACCTGTCACCTTGCTTTATCTTCTCAACATTGGTCATGACCTTGGCATTAAGCAACACAAAAAGACGACAAAATGTCTTGCTGCCTCTTTTCCTTCCACACACTACACTTAATGTTTAAAGCACTTACATATCGTAGATGTTTACGTTTTCATCAAATTTTATTACACAGTGGTCTTCTTTGGGGGAGGTGAGAGGGTGCTATTATTTTATCTTGTTTTGTGTTGTTAAACTCCCTATAGCAATGATGTTAAAAATATACTACTTTAGCTCACCTAAGCTCCTTTTTGGGAAGTATTACACTCACCGAAAAACATGCATATACTTTAAGCTATACAGATCAACCAGAAGGAAAAAAAGAAAGGAGTGAAACATCTGTTGATTTCCTTAAAAAGCAAAAACAAAACTAATGGTATTTTAATTGGGATCAAACTAAACTCATAAATCAATTTAAGAAGAACTGACCAGGTTTGACAATGTCAGTCTTCCAATTCATAAAATTGCATATGTTTCCAAATATTTATGTATTCTTTAATGTGTCTTAATGATATTTAATCATTTTCTTCATGGAAGTTCTTGTATCTTAGATTTATTCCAGGTCTTGGATAGTTTTTGTCAAAAATCAGTTGGCTGTAGGTGTGTCCATTTCTGGGCTCTCTATTCTGATCCACTGATCTATGTGCCTGTTTTTATACCAATATCATTTTTTTCATTACCATATTCTAGCAATATATTTGGAAGTCAGGTAATGATGCCTCCAGCTTTTGTTCTTTCTGCTCAGGCCTGCTTTGGCTATTTGGGCACTTTTGTGGTTCCATATGAATTTTTAGGATTGTCTAATTCTCTGAAGGTCACTGGAATTTTGATATGGACTGCATTAAATCTGGAGATCACGTTAGGCAGTATGGCTATTCTAGTAATATTAGTTCTTCTAATCCATGGACATATATATATATATACACACACACATATATTTATATATTTCCATTTGTTTGTGTCTCCTATTTCTTTCCTCAATGTTTTATAGTTTTCATTGTATAGATATTTTATCTCATTGGTTAAGCTTATTCTTAGGTATCTTAATTTTTTGTAGCTATTGTAAATGGAATTTTTTTTAATTTTTCAAGTAATTAACATTAACATATAAGTGCTGATTTGTTATGCTAATTTGTGTCCTACAACTTTACTGAACTCATTTATTAGTTCTAGCAGTTTTTTGTGTGAACTTTTTAGGGTTTTCTATATTTAATATCATATCATCTGCAGAGACAATTTTACTTTCTCCTTTCCAATTTGGATGTCTTTTATTTCTTTTTCTTGCCTAACTGCTGTAAGACTTCCAGTACTATGTTGAATAAGACTGGTCAAAGTGTGCACCTCTGTTAGGTTCCTGATCTCAGGAAAAGCTTTCATTTCTTCTCCATTCAGTATATGACCAGTTGTCAGTTTGTCAACTATGGGCTTTACTGTGTTGAGGTACATACTTTCTATATCTATTTTGAGAGTTTTTATCATGAAAGGAT